TTTAGTAGGTTTGGAGGTCTTATTTCACCCCCTTTCACACTCGCAAGATAAGATTGCGCACAAACATATTAACAGGGTTTTATCTTTTAAAACCTGGTGTTTGAGCTATAATCGAGGATACAGCTAAGGTATCGAATGATTCCTCATCCCACCTTCGGGAGGGGGTTGAGTAGGTTTGGAGGTCTTATTTCACTCCTTTCACACTTGCGAGATAAGATTGCGCAGGAACATATTAACAGGGTTTTATCTTTAAAAACCTGGTGTTTTAGCTGTAATCGAGGATAAAAGCTAACTATCGAATGATCCCTTCTCTTCCAAAAGTACTGCGGCCTTTACGCCGGCAAATACGGTAGATTAATAGGTTTTGCATTCAGTGATTTCTTTACTTCATCTCTAAATTAGGAATATTAAAATTCTTAATTTAAATAGTTTTCAAGGATGGAATGTGTAAAATGATGACATATTCATAATTCCTGCAAAGTTCTTCAGAATTTGAGGTTGGCTGCAAAAGGGACATAGTACCTTGAAGGTTTTTTTTTTTTTTGGGGGGGGGGGGGGGATGAACAAATACAAAATAAATTTATCTGACTGCTTCTGCTCTGAACTTCTCATTGCTCTTGCCGAAACTCTGCCCTTACCCAAAGGGCAACGTGTGAATGAGTGCATGGTCGGACCTCATATTCACAAGTCTTCCTTCACAAAAATGCATCGATTATCCCAGATTTCTCCTCATGTTCCACTGTCAATTCCAAATTTGATCAGAAGTGGTTTGTAATGGCGTGTCATATGACATGCGTCATGTTCTTTTGATCTGTCAAAGTATATGTGAAGTGCTGCCGCCCTCGCGTCGCGTCTCCGAGTAGCTCTGTACCCAGCTGTGCGATTTAAAACCTGTGAAACCTTAGAAGCCCAAATCCATATTAAATATCTGTGCAATCATGTCAGATTTAGATTTTGGGATTCGAGATAGAGCTTAGAATTTGGATAGACATCATCATGTAGAATGAAAGTGCAGGCCTGTTCTGACTTTTTATGCCTCCGCTACAAAGTAGCCGGAGGCATTATGTTTTCTGGTTGTCCGTCCGTCCGTACGTCCGTACGTCCCGTTCTCGTGATCGCGTTATCTCAAGAACCAATTGATGGATTCTCTCCAAACTTGGATCATGTATGTATCTTACAGAGCCAATGAACTGATTAGATTTTGGGGTCACGGGATCGAAGGTCAAAGGTCACAGGGCTCATTATGTATTCAAAAATAGCTTGTGATCGCAATATCTCAAGAACCGATCAATGGATTCCTGCCAAACTTGGGTCATATATGTATCTAACAGAGCCAATGAACTGATTAGATTTTGGGGTCACGAGGTCGGAGGTCAAAGGTCACATGGCTCATTATGTATACAAAAATAGCTTGTGATCGCATTATCTCAAGAACCGATCAATGGATTCCTGCCAAACTTGGGTCATGTATGTATCTAACAGAGCCAATGAACTGATTAGATTTTGGGGTCACGAGGTCGAAGGTCAAAGGTCACAGGGCTCATTATGTATACAAAAATAGCTTGTGATCGCGTTATCTCAAGAACCGGTCAATGGATTCCTGCCAAACTTGGGTCATGTTTGTATCTAACAGAGCCAATGAACTGATTAGATTTTGGGGTCACGAGGTCAAAGGTCACAGGGCTCATTATGTATGCACAAATAACTTGTGATCGCATTATCATGAGAACCAATAGACATATTACTATCAAACTCAAGACATGTATATATGTATCTTGCAGAGGCAATTAACTGATTAGATTTTAGGGTCATCAGGTCAAAGGTCATGGGGCTCATTATGTATGACTATAAAATGTTTGTGAATGCATTATTATTAAAACCGACAGATGGATTACAATCAAACTTGAATTTTAAAAATTGCTTCCGTTTTGGTTTGTAAAGTTGCTCTATGGCGGAGGCATCATTTTTGACTGCGCGCAGTCAAAATTCCATCTAGTTTGTGATGAATTGTAAGAGTATTTCCCATATCCAACCCTCTATGCAACTTAACCATGGATAAGCAACAGGGAAAAAAAAGAAAGGGTCCCAGTATGGTGCCTTGAGTCTCATAGGCATTAATAGAAGACCCCCTCCCCCTGTGTAGTGAGTTTCATGGGTGCCTGATGGCTCATGGGTCCAGCAGTGGTCTTCTAAGTGGGAGATCCTGGGTTTGAAACCAAGTCCATGCACTAGTGCCTTTGATTAGGCTTAGCAAGTCTCTCAGAGAGGAATAGAAGCCGCCGGTCGCCTGGTTGCTTACTTACAAGCATACACATACTGTTTTAACAGTCAGGTACAACACTTCATGATTCATGCGTATATGCAGCTCAAATAGGTAATGAAAAAAAGAAAAACAGGAAAAAAAGATGTGGGCCCAGTATAGCGCCTTGACTGAATACACTCATTATAGACAGTATTGATAAGTGGAGATCCCTCCCTCCCTTTCCCTTGTGTAGTGAGTATCAAATGTCTGAGCCTGTAGACTAGTATCCAAAAGTATTTTGACATATTGTCGGCTCTGTTACCATGACAATCAAAACAATACCATCCATGTTCTTGTCAGAGACTCATGCTGGTATTTGGAAGTGAAAGGTCCTTATTATTTGCAATGCTTTCAAGACTTTTTTTTCCTCTCTTTTTTTTTAAAGATCTATTCTCCTCATACTTTTTTTTACTTTTTTTGCTTTTGTAGAGAAAATGGGATTTCCATAATGGATATTCCCTAGGAATGTGCTGCTCTGTTTACTAAGTATTTCTTTACATGGGAGGCCTTGCATGCTTGTTTTCTTCATTTTTCCCCCTTTTTGGGGGTTATGTAGCTCAGGTAATGCTCTAGATGGAGCAAAGGTAATAGGCACTTAAAATAGCAATTTGGGGGAAGAGTGTTAAAGTGACTAATGGCAGTCCACGGAGTTGAAGGAGTGCTGTAAACTATTTTGCACCATTCTTATTTTCTTCATCTTTTATCTTTTTCTTTTCTTTCTTTCTGTTTGGAAGGGGGATCGATATAAGTAAAAGTTTAGAACTACTCTTTTTTAAAATCTTAGTTTGTGTTTTGATATGATTATATGGGAAAAAATAACCTATAATTGACTCATTTCTCATATTAAATGGTGACAGTCAAAATTGTAACATACTGGTAGTCATTTCATAAAACCTGAAATCCTTCAAGGTATAGTGTAATGATTTACAAGTCCATTCCATTCTGAAAATCAGAAACACTTTCTTAAATACACTTGCCTATGGCAGGATGAGTGATATGATACGACGTTCTGGCTAGTGTGAACCTGATCTTTATCAACATTTTGTTCGAAATGATGCTCAAGCATACGTTTCATTAATCATTATACAGCATAATTTCTTTATGCAATGTTCGGACTAAAAAAGGAGTAATTACCCATTGCTATACAATCGATAATAATATTGAACGTTTTTTGTAGTGCACATATATTGCCTCAAGGCACTTCAATATTACCCCAGTTCTGCTAGACTACTAATTTTGATGGTCACAACGTTCAAGGAATTCCTTCCTATTGGTACCTGTTGAACATCAGGTTGGAGAGTGGCAAACGTAGATTAATGACTTGCCATTAGGCCTGTCCCTATCAGCTCAAGATTACCAAATAGCCTGCTAGCTATTTCTGATTTGGGAAATAATCTCGAAGTTACAAATCGCGTCTTCATCAGCTCGAGACTAGACCTCGAAACTTGTAACTCGAGTTCGAGATATTTTGCTTAGCGTTCGCGCATAGTGCGAGTCTTCGGGCTGGTGAAGATGCAACGGGCAAATAGCAGAATATTTTGCAAACTAGCCCAAGATACCTTGTGATGATTATCTCGATAATTGAAACTTTGGGCTGATGAAGACGCAGATTAGCTGGATAATTTGCGATCAAGATGGTTCAAAAAGCGGGATATTTGGGCAATCTCGAGCTGATGAGGACAGGCCTAATGAGTTGTAGTAGTCTGAGCGCGAGGTGAGGAAGGGGGAGAACCGGAAAAGTAGAGGATTTTGCTTTCAAGTGTTTATATCAGACAAGGATCCCCAGCGGGAATTCCAGTCACGTGTAGGGGATGAGTATGTATGATCGCATTGCTACTATCCATGGTGAAGAATGGGAAGTAATATCAGAGAAAGCTACAAGTGTCTATTGGTGTCGGGAGGGAGACAAATAGTGAGGGAGAGGAGAAGGAGGAGGCGGAGGAGGAGGAAGAGAGGAGATAGGGAGGAGGAGGGAGAAGGAGAAGTAGAGATAAGGAATGATGGGGGAGAAGGGGAATTCAACTCATTCTAGTCACGTCTAGGGGATGAGTATGTACGATCACATTGCTACTATCCATGGTGGAAAATGGGAAGTGGTATCAGAGAAAGCTACAAGTGTCTTTTGGTGTTTGAAGAGAGAGAGAGAGAGAGAGAGAGAGGGGGAGTGGAGGAGAGGAGGAGAGGAGGAGGGGGTGTGGAGGAGGGAGAAGGAGAAGTAGAGATGAGGAAAGATGGAGGAGCAGGGGAATTCAACTTATTCTAGTCACGTCTAGGGGATGAGTACATGTATGTACGATCACAAGTGTCTATTGGTGTCCGGAGGGAGACGAGTAGTAAGGCTGTGAGGACGAGGGAGAGGGGGAAGTAGGGAGAGAGAGAGAAGTAGAGAAAGGAAGGATGGAAGAAGGAATAGGTAGAGAGAAGAGAAAGAGGAGAAGGGGAGAAATGAGAGAAGTACAAAGGAGGTAAGAGGGGGAGTTAGACAGGCAAGAGAAGGATAAAATGGGAGAAGAGAGGGGAAAGGAGAAAGAAGGGAGAGAGTGAAGAACATGAAAAGAGAATCTGTACCACTTTTTGTGAGCATTTTATTCATGCAAATATATGTTTATTTTGTACTTTAACAGCAGTCTGTGAATAATATCACAAAAAAATATATTAAATAAATATTGTTCTCTTTTCCTCCCCTTTGTGCATACAGTGGCAACGTTGTAATCGAAACGAAATTTTACGACGAAGAACTCCTCGTTAGTACATCCAAAGTACGGCTATACTACGTCTGACATTCATCCACGCTCGCCACGTCATCAACACCGCAAACGGAGGGGCACCAAGACATAATCCAATCTATGTAATTAAATATTTTCACATTTGATTGTACATATATATATTAATACCTTGAAAAATACTATTGACAAGAGTAATGCTTTTACATTCTCTCTCTTCTAATGGTATATCACATGGATTTTTGCCATGTACTTAATGCTTTTTTGTAGCGAATGTGGACTTCATGTTTACAAATTCATGAGACAGACAACAGTAGGGAAGATGATGTATGCTGTGTTAGAAAAGTAAGTGTGGTTCTGCCTTTTTCATGTTTTCTAACTTGTATTGTTTATGTGCATGGTATACATGTCTGTCATTCAAAGCAGGTATAGAGTGCTACCGTGTGTTGGTACACAGCAGGCTGTTAAACTGTAATTCAACATCCTACTTTTTTTGTTTCTTCACTCACTGCCTCAAACTACCGTAAAACCAAAAACATTCGCGACGTGAAACTTCAGTGAATCGTAAACGACAGAATTTTTTTTTTTACACCAACAACATGAATCCGTGAATTGCAAAGATTCAGTCTTGTCATAACAACTTGGTAATCATTGACATTGTATCTTGCGGCTTGAAAATTTCAAGAACCCTAACCTGTTGCGAAATTCACGATCATTTCATGCGTGTGAAAAGTTTCTGTTTTTTTCAGTCTATTTATGATGATTTGTATAATTTGATTTTTAATCTGATAATTGTTCTCTCTCTCTCTCTCTCTCTCTCTCTCTCTCTTTCTCTCTCGTAAATGAAAGAGTCCATTGTAAAAACATAACATTTACTGTCATCCTTAATTGTGATTAAACAATATTTCAAATTCTATTGAAGTTATACAATTAAACACAAATGTATTATCATATGGCAAGATAGAATTATCTATCCGGGCATTCCTTATAAGGGAAATTGGTTGCGAAAAACCTACCATAACGTACAGTTTGATAAGAGAATATATGCAGATGTAATGCTGCAATTTTGATGATTGAATTTGAATTTAGACTTCCAAGAAGACTAAAGATGTAGACAATGTGTGAAATAACATCAGAGCCCCTCTCCCTCCAGTGTGCCCCATCATAACATAAACACGATGAAGCTAGCTAATAAATTATTGATGAGGTGAACATAGTATTTATGCTCTACCAATAGGATATAATGTGATTGAAATCATAGCGCGATGGGAACATGAATCTCCCACGGAACTTCCGCCTCTACATTTTATTATCTTTTTATAGGGCAATAAAATGTATACCAGCCGATTCGGTATGTCATAATGAATATGTTTGTCAAAATGTTGGAAGAGCTGAAGATTTACTTTGCTCCTATAAATAATTCAAAATTTAAGACATACATTGTCAGTGGAGATGCAAAGGCTTTTGGTACAATTGCAAGCTATTTTGTGTAGATTTAATTGAATATTCCTCTCAAAAATAGGTTTGAATGAGAGTTTAAGTGATTATTTCAAAAGAGGATGACATGAACTTGTTTTGGGATTTGTTTCATAACAGTTTGTGAAACTGTAAATTTACTGCAGTTGTATGCAGGCCCATTGATAATTCATATATTTGAATTCACAATGAGTTATTACAATACACCATACATTACATTAAAAAGCTAGATGTACCATCCTCTCGCTGGACTAGACGTTTACCAGTGTGTGGCGTCAATTATCTAAATTGGGAGCACGTTTCGGGTTGCTTTCATGGATCAGTGATTCGAGCGTTGTTTTCTATTACTTAGGCATCATTGTTAAAATCTATGCTGATGTATCTCTCTAGGCCTGTCTTCATCAGACCGAAGTTGCAAAATAACCTGCTATTTTCAGACTCTGGCCCGGGATATTTTCTTGATGCTCACCAGACAGATACGCTCATCACGAACTAGCTCGAACAGGCGCAAATTAGCCCGCTATCTCTAGAATAGCAGTCTATTTTGGAAACGAGACTATATCTTGGGATATTTTCTTGACCAAATAGCCTGGTAACTGCAGCTGCAGGCTGATGAGGACGCAAATTAGCTGGCTAATTTGAGATCGGGCTAGTTAAAATAGCGGGTTATAACTTCAGTCCGATGGAAACAGGCCTTCTCAGCGCTACTTGCAACAAAAACAAAAATTACAACAGTTTCCCTTGAAGCCATACCGTAGTCTGCAAGCACAGGCTCTAATTTGACACTTTACAACAAGTTCTAAAGCCTTGAAGGAGAGCCTATACCATGACTTGTACACCTGAAGAAAGTTGACGTACACAGTATCGCATACGAGGTTAATTTCTGCACAATAAAATTAATCATAATGCTCCATTTTTTCCAAATTTTGTGTAATGTACCTAAAATATCATATATTGAGAACCAGAAGGTTTTTAATTCTTTCTGTTATTACGTGAATTAACGCTTTTCTGGCTCTAAACAGACATACATATAGACTTCATTCACGGTACAGAGGATATTAAGATGAAGAAATACGACTCTTTTGCAGTAAGCCTCACCCTATTTTCTTACAATTTCGTTTATAATCTAAGCTATAAGTCGTTAATATTCTTGATAGCATTCAAAGTTGCAAATTACATCTTGCAAATTACATGCTAAATGGCCATTACAGGAATCAGTCACGTCTACCATGTTGTAGTCGATGTCGCCAGTTGTTTGCTCATAAATTTTCGCCCAATTTGGCTCTCCTCTCCAGATCTGGCGATTGCCACTGGGTATTTTTAACCACCAGAAACCCCCGTAATCCAAAGCACATTCATGTGCTTTGTTTGTTTTGTAAATATCAAGTGGGGGGAAGGGGAGGGAGTGCATTAAAGAGAAGACGGAAGTCAAGCGTCAGCTCAGATGAAGCATCGGCTCAGATGAAACATGACGTCATTGATTTGCTCGTGTTGGCATTGTCTTTAAATTTGATGGCTCACGCACACGTTGATGCTTATCTTACAGTTCTAAAGTATATTAGACTGGGAATAAGAACATGACAAGATATTTTTACTACGTGATGAGAAAACCAACTCTCTCCCACTCATTTAATTAAGCATCCTTTGGGGGGGGGGGTTCCCCTCTCTATCTTTCTCTCTCTCTCACACTCTCTATCCTGAATTAACAAATGACCAATCTCACCTAGCTATTCCCATCCAGTATTCCTTCTCTCTCTCTCTCTTTATCTTTCTGTTTCTCTTTGTCATTCAAAAAACTCTCTCTCTCTCTCTCTCTCTCTCTCTCTCTCTCTCTCTCTCATATGAAAAGCAGTTGGTCTGCAAGGAACAACTTTTGCTACTTTTGAAGAACATCTAGTCCCTTTTCAAATTTTTACGTAGCTAATGCCCCCATGGCTCTCCCCCATTGGACAAGCAGACAATTTCTTCTCCATTTGTGGAAAAGGGATATCAGTTCCTTCATTCAGGTATACCTGCCTAGTTCCTTCCCTGTAGGTTGCATGACCAAGGCACTTACGTTAAAGAAGCGTTGAAAAGGTTATTTACGTTCAAAGGGTCGCTGCTGCTAAAGGTCTCCCATTATCGGATACTGGTTTATTGCCCCATCTCTCCGCTGTTTTTTCCCCATTTCAAGCAAGCTCTCTCCACTTCACGATGATATAGTAGCTTTCTTGATCTCTGTACACCGTATTTCTCATTCCATGCATTCTCTCGATCACACGCTACTTTTGATGAATATCCAGTCCCTTTTAAAAACCTGCCAAAGGAAAAATTGGCATAAATATAAGTTTTACCTAATTTTTTCAATTTTTCAAATCACCTGATGAGAATAGTCCACAAGATCCAAGCAAAATAAACAATTCTACGATGCTTGCATTTTCCATGAATTATGGCATTTATTGTAGAATTTTGTTTATCATGGGCCTCAGTAATAGTTTCTATTTGCTTTCTTGATGAAAAGGGAATATGGAATTTTGTTTAAAGTGTCACATTCCCTCTTTCAAATTTCTTGAAAGATGTTGAATTCTAAATAAAATAATTATGCTATTGTTGGCTTTGGGGAGCTTTCAAAAGCCCAAAGAATTTGTTTACAACCAAATCCATGAAATTGACTATTAAACACAAAGATTCATTTTCTTTTTTTTTAATAGTTTTTTTAGTTTCTTTCTCATCATACAATAATCAGACATCAGTATTGATAAAACTGCGAGAAAATGTGAAAGATATAAAACCCTTTCACATGTACACAAAACTAATAACTGCCTTTTAGCAAATTAAATTAGCAGTCTGACCACACCCTCTAAATTTGCTTATTATTGGGACTTTGGCGCTTTATTTCTAAAAAGAGAGAGTGATAGATTTAAAAAAAGGAAGTTACAGTTGAGAGATTTAACAGATGTCTGAATTTTTGTGTCTTTGTGTATTGTGTTTTTCTCTATAGAACAAAACAAGTGTGAGTATGGTATAATGTAACAAAGTGTCATTTTCAAAAGATTAATTGCATATATATACCAGTTTGTTTTGCCTACGTGTTAATGATAAGATTTCAAATTTTCTCCTTTTTCTATTCCAAATATTTGCATGTAGCTGAGGTGGTTGTGTAAACTTTGTATATATCAAATCAGAGTCTATAAGTGCCTGTATATGTATATGGTGATTTTTGTGTGTGAATTAAAGAAGTGTTCACACCGGAAGCTATAACAGTAGTATTAATCATGGTTAGTTTGCTAGTCGGCGTGAAGTAGGAATATATGTCGTATGCGTGTTGATTTTCAAGCGTGCGGCGGCACCAGTCGTGCATGTATTGCTGTGTGCTAGCTGGCTTGAGGGCATTGAAGCAAACAATGGTACCTTATATTAAACATCAGCTTGCAGCGATATATCCTTTCATAACTGGATATTGTGATCATCATGTGTACCTATTCTTGTTAGGATATGCTTTTGTTCTTCTTGTGTATGCGTTTATGCAGGATTCAGCGTCCGACATGTACGTACCATCAGCTTCAGGTGACTTGTATTGAAATGAAGCTTGAGTGATGATGAAAATTAGAACCAGAATTTGAGTGCCAGTTTTACGTCTGCATGTATGCTGTTTACATTTCATTGTTTATCTTTTATTCTGTCTGTAGTACATTGTAAAAGCATCCAAATTACATGTGTATGTTGCATTGATTGCTAATCTGATCGTTAAGAGTTCAATGAACATTCAAAATAGCCGAAACATGATAGGTTAAAAAGTCATCATAAAATATTCCCTCTGTGAAATCAACATGTATATCTTTTGATGAAAAGATGACTAAATTTAATGAGAGTTTTATTGGTATACTATTAAATGAAATGTATTCATTTCGGGTTGTAAATGTTTAATTTAGTTTTGTGTGTGTGTGAAATTTCCAGAAGTTTTCTATTTTTCTCTATGAATGGCCTACTGAATTTCTATGAAGAACCAATTTTTTGTTTTATTATTATTTTATAAAGAAAATTAGAAGAGAACAGAGTGTCAAAAGTTTTACGGTGTTTTAACATCAAACAAATTACTTGGGATTCTACAGTACTGTACGTACATGTATGATTAATCCATGTAAAGTGTGTTTCTTTAGAAGAAAAAAAAAATCCATATTAATCTTCTTCATATTTTAGTTTTACTTGTTCGTTGTCATTCCTTTGTAACTAATACACGTGTGAGTTTGGGGATACATAGTATACCACTATTTGTATAAGAAAATTTTAGAATAAAATAATGAATTTGAGAAGAAAAATGAAAAATTGTGATTATTATTATTTATTTATTATTATTATTGAATAAAGTCTGATCGTTCTACAATGATCTATGATTAATTATATTATTCAAATGCAAGAAACCTCAAATTATTGCTGAATAACATGTAAAAATGCAAGAGCTTGCAGGGTTGCTGTACCTGTTTTTGAACCTGTCAAAAAGTGGAAAGTTTGATCACATTAATATTGTAGCATTCTGCAGGTAACTGCTTGTATACTTGCAATATAGTGTTCTGAATTGCTGGGTGTTTTTTGCTGCCAAATTTATTTGTTTTGTTTGTTTTTTATAAGCATTGAAGGAGAATACTAAATGCAATTTGCTCATTTTGGCAAGTCTTGCATAATTCTGCATTCACAACTGTTGAAGCATTGCTTAGGTGAGCGCAAACTACAAACACAACTTCGCTTTGATCAATGTATGCCTTCATTTTTACGAGATGTACCAAATAATTTCTCAATGATGATAATGATTAATGATATTAAAATATCCCCAATGTACACGAACCATGAATATGAAAAATGCATCACTATATGATCTAATAGCATCTATTCCGTATATAAAGTGAATGCAATTAGTATTCTACCTTGCATTGGTACTAATTGCTTAATACAACAAAAAACATGTGACAGTTTGATTGGATTGTAGTCATCATCTATAATTTATGGCCTTTGAATAAAGTAACCGTCCGCCGAAGCATGAATTTAAAGTATACTGCAAACCCGACACTCTTTGGTCTCATCTTCTCATCCATTTTAGTAATTGAAGTCACGTTTTTGGTTGCTAAATGAACGACCCTATTCACATTTAGGTCTGAGCCAGAGAGCCAGTAACTAACATCTTTCAGTAGAATTAATGATTTTTAAGCAGACTAATTAGATAAATGTGTAATGTCTTTAGTAAATGAATGATGTAATACATTAATCATCAAATGCATCTGTTTGAGCTAAAAAGGTGTTGACTTGTATAATTTCACAGAGTTAATGCCTTTTTGACTCCAAACAGACAATTTGTTCAAAAATTTTGTTTAATAGGGACATGTACATGTACTTGTCTGACTGTATTTTTTTATACCAGAGTGTGACCTGCAAGAGCATTGATTTATCCTAAACAGAATTGCTCATGTATTATTAGTTCTATGATTAAGGTTCTATTCGTTTGATACCCTGATTCCATGATTGAAGAATAAAAAATGGAACTATGGCGTGCTTATAGCTATGAGGGTGTCGACTCTGTAAAGTAACACCCTCCTGGCCATATATAAAGCATATAATCTTTGATATACAATAGTAACTCTTGGGGTTGTTTCACAAAGATGAACTTATCTGATCTCTAAGTTGGACTTTATGGACAATTATGGAAAGCCGTTAGCATATTTGAAAATATTTTGTAAAAGTTATGTAAAAGGCATAAAATGTTGATTAAAATCATTCATATTTTCTATTATCAAGGAGATTTCATGTTCTTGATGTGGAATTTATGAAAAGTCTAAAATACTTGAATTTTTGCTTTCGAGTATATTTTATTTTAAGGCTACAAATGGCTCTCCATAATGTTTAAGTCTAACTTAGAGTTAAGTTCGACTTCAGATCTTTGTGAAACGCTCCTTGGAATATCAATTCTTATCTAAGTAGCAATGCATTTATCCTCTGTAGTCTAGACAGCTTCTTTGCGAGTTAAGATTAAAATACATCTGTCAATTTTTTATTTAAATATCTGTCAACAAGCTCTGTACAGGTAGAACAACTACTCATTACTGCTGTAATTATGGATGATTCAAATAAAATGCTTTAAATTCCATAAATGATGTTTGTCTGGATGTCTGTCTCTCCGTGTACATGCGTGTTGATGTATGTGTCAAAGTTATGAAAATCAGAATATTTCATATCGAGGTGTCAGTGACACAAAGACGTAACTCCATTTTGAGAAAAAGTGGTTTGAAGATAGAGGTCCACTTGGGCCTTAAAGAGTTACGTCTATGTTTCACTAGCCATTGACTTCAATGGAGTGTTGGGTAGAGTTAAGTCTCTTGTGTTTCCTGGAAAGCCCACATTTTTCTGAACATTTTGATATCAAATACTCATTTTGGCAAAATATGGAGTTACGTCTTTGTGTCACTGAACCCTCAATATATGCATGTGACTTTTGTGGATGATCGGGAGTGGTCTAGACTTGCAGAATTAGACTTTATCTGGCCTGAATACACCAAAGCACTGAAGTTTCTTGCAAAATGTATACATTAGCTATTCAACATCCGAGAATTGCAAAACATGGAAGGAGTATGAACAGGGGGGTGTTTCACAAAGATCCTAAGTTGAAGTTAACTCTAAAAGTTGGACTTAAAAATTATGGAGAGCTATTTGTAGCCTTAAAATAAAATGGATTCAACAGCCAAAATTGAAGTTATTTAGACTTTTTATGAATTCCATATGAAGAGCATGAAATCTCCTTGCAACATTTTATACCTTTAAAAATAGCTTTTACAAATATTTTCATAGATGCTAATGGCTTTCCATATTTGTTAGGTCCAACTTAGAGATAAGTTCATCTTAGGATCTTTGTGAAACACCCCCCAGGTGTGATTGAAATATTGTGCAGTGTCAAGAATCTGTACCCAGGTTGGTCCACAAACCAAAATTCAAACATCTAAAATTGGAACGTGGAAGGAGTATGAACTTATTTAAAGCCTGTCTGTATTAGTTTGGCTAAGGGGGATTAGACCTCCCTGCAAGGTCACTGACAGGTGGTTATCTCATCTAATCAGCTCTCAATTAACATAAGAAAAAAAAGGATCATGGGGGACCAACAGGCACCGATTAGGCATTGTTTGCTCTATAGAGGGTGCAAGTAGCTATAAGTAGTGCAGTGGGGCTTTAAATGAAGCATTACTGTCAGTCCCTTGTGGCTTGGCTCCTGAAGTGAAGTAGTTCTCAAATTATAAAACTTGCAAGACAGAGGAGGTATAGAAATATTCACGTTATGGTGATTTAGATTCAAGTATATATCTGTTGATGTGAATCTACAGAAGAATGATGAAAATATCCTGGAAACGAATGAAAACCAACAAAGAGATATTGCACATGGCAGGGTGTAAACAAATTGCACTGGTAGGATTAGTTAAAGGCCCACTGCACTACTTGTAGCTACTTGCGCCCTCTACATAACAAACAATGCCTAATCGGTGACCATTGGTCCCCCATGATCCTCTTTTTCTTATGTTAACTGAGAGCTGAGTTGATGAGATAACCACCTGTCCAGTGACCTTGCAGGGCAGTCTAATCCCTCCTGTAAACTACGGCAGATAAGCTTTAAGGAGAGAAAAATCAAATGCTTTGGTCATGTTAAAAGGCACCAAAGTCTCTTAAAGGGTGTATTGGAAGGAAGAGTGGAAGGAAGTAGACCTAGAGGGAGACCCAGAATCAACTGGGAAGAGAATGTCAAGAACTGGAGTGGACTAAAACTGCAAGAGTGCACCAGAATGGCAGAAGATAGAGTGAAATGGAGAGATGTTGCAATCAACCTCCGAAGCGGGAGAAGATACTTAGATAGATAGATAGATAGATGTGAATACAAGATGTGCATGTGCATTAATAAAAAATAATCCTAAAATTATAATTATTGTATATGTTATTCAAACATAATTAATAGAACTGATTATTTAAAATTCAACTGAAACAGAAGCCTTTCAAAAATATTAAATTCTACCTTTGAAATCTCCACAAAACATGAGAACATAGACATCTTGGGCACATTTTCGTGTACATTTTAGTCAAAGTTTATTATCAATACTCAAACGATAACAAAAAAAGGACAATATTCATGACCATTCTCACTCCAAACCGCCAAATATGGGCATGAATAATTTGCCCTCTTCAAAGTAAAAGTGCTGTTTGTGAAAAATAGCTAACTTTGAACAACTGAGGGCACTCTTCTGCTTTCCTACTTGACATGTACATCAATGGTGAAAATAACAGTTGGACAAAGATCCTTGTACTCAAGTTATCAATATATGAGCAGTGTTGTTGCTTCCCTAGATTTGACTGTGAATGTACATTTATAATTTTATACAATGAAATACTATCACTGAAAGTTGTACCATTAAGCAACCTTTCATCGTCTTAATAATTTGTTACCAAATTTAAAGGAGGTTGTTCATTATTTTCCAGAGGAAAATGTTTGAAGTAAACTCTGTTACCTCATGAGGGCAATGGTATTCGTCATTGTACTTACACTTGTGTCGTGTGTACGAAAAATTCATTGCATTTCCCCGAGAGATGAATATACAAATAGCCATTTCCCTGCGACTCCTTGCTCGCTATGATCAATCAATAGACCAAACCTTCATTGCCAACTTTCGTCACATTTTGTCACACTTTTCACTTTCGTCCACAATATAGACATTCAAAAGCAGCTCCATGATTTAACCTCGGACCCCACTCATGTATTGGTATATATGCACATGTCATGTCACAACTATCTCTCTCAATATGCTATGAAATCATGAATAGAATCCCTCTTTCATCATAAAACATCCTATTTACAATTTATTGATTTTCCAATCTAGCCGGAGAAATAATTTTCAACACTATTCCTTCATCTCCTCTTGGGACTTCCAGTTGGGCGGGGTCGCTACGGGGTAGTAATACCAGTGACCTTCGCCCCTTGACCTCATCAGACGTTTGACCTCTCGTTCTTCGCTCCTGCATGAGAAATATAAGGGTATGGGAAAGGGGGATTATGTTTTTTTTTAAAGAGAAGTTTGTTTCAATATGCATTAGCTCTGGAGCAAATTTCTGGTAGATGAAAAGTTATTGAGGTACGAAGAGCTTCAAATTCAAATTCAATAGTAATAATACTCTCAATAAAAAAAAAATCGGCACAATATACAACTTACAGTAACAATACCTTATATTGGTTATTCATTGGGATTTCTTATTGGGGAGTAAGCAATTAAGTTCTATAACTCTATATGGAATTACTAGGCTATGCATGAATCACCATTTTCTTTACAGCAATACTATACAACGATTTCACATGACAAAAATTGTTTGTGTTATATTTCTTGACAATTAGATTATGTTTGGCGAGGCGATTGCTTGTCATTTAGTGAATTATTACAATTAAACAAACCATGCCATACCATAGACAATTTGATGTATGAATCACATTGTGGGAAATGCCAATTTTAATGCAATTTATATACTCTTTGTCATGTACTGGTATATATATAATCTTTTTCTTTCTTACTTTTTTTTTGCAAAGTAAGATTAATTTGGTGTGATTTCTTCTTAGGATGAAAAGCATTTTTTTCAAACTTCACATTTTTTAAGAATTTTTTTTGCCAATACTCCAAACTCTATTGCTCTTTAGATGCATTTTATAAGCTTGTAGGGTGCTGTCCACAACCACATTGCTCCATTCTATTACACACCTTTCCTTTTTTAATTATTCTTCTTTTTTTTGCATCTAATACGGTAATAATATTAAAGGTATTACAAAGTTTTGATACGGGGTCATGAATTTGGTTCAAATGAATATATTGGAAGCATATGCGATCCTACAATACTCAGTGATCATTGTCGCGGTTTAAATCGAGTCTAAAGGGATAAAATTGTAAATAACAAACTCTTTATCTTGTACAGCTCCCTCTCAAGGTCAAGATATTAATTTAGCTATAAAACAATGTTTGTTGACTAAAATCGACCCATTGGCTATTCCCGTTTGGAGTTATATATCACAACTACATACTCTGAAATTTTCATGGTCGCAGCTACCATTGTATGGCCGTAGGCAATATTTGAAATTCATCAAAATTTACCGGGAGCACCGGTAAATTTTAATATTCAATTTTTCTCGAAAGCAGAAGTGTTTTGGCGGCTAATTTTTTAGTGCTTATAATACATCCACAGGGGCATCCAAATATATCAAAATTGTAAAGAATCACTATCCAGCCAATTTTCGAAATTTCCCAAAACTTTGTATTACCTTTAACAATATATGAAATTTTTAAGGCGCCAAATCCACTTGAAATCAAAAGTTTCAAGGCACATTTGTGAAACAAAAACATAAAAAGAGATCAAATTAAAGCACCTGCATTATATAAAAAAGGAACAGAAGTAAGATAAAAACATACAAATATGACAGCACAAATAATTATATACCGAATGAAACAACAATTTAATGATATTTCTAAACACTACAACTGATCTGCGATTACGAGTCTCTCTCTCTCTCCAGGGAGAGCCTTCCACAGCGAAAACCCTGCATGAGCAAAGGTTCTTCCCGCTTAGTATTGAACTTTACAGGAAGAATAAGAAATCTGGAGTGTGGATTGACTAGGCTTACCTCGCCTTTATCTTCTGTCCTTCAATGTCCATGAAATGAGCCATCTTCTCGTACTCCTGCTGTGGACTGGGTATGACAAATCTTGAAAGCCACCTTGTGATTGGATGCTGCAAAAAAAGGACGAAGACAAAGTCAAATTCAAGGTCAAGGTCAACATTGAAATGTCATTGTTTTTAAAAATTCTTGTGAATCCTATTTATCTTTTTGTAATACTGTGCGCATTAAATAAACAATGGAAAGGAAGAAATATGTAAGAGGATTGACCATATCTACTTGCAAAACAGTTAAGAATCGGAAATAACATCTTCCAGTAGCCTGTTATTTTGTTTGTTTGTTTGTTTGTTTGTGGGTTGTTGTTTTTGTGTGTAATATCCTTCTTTTTTTTTTAGGGGGAGAGGGAGTTTAAGATTTTATGTTAAATGGTTTCCATTTTGTCATTATTTGTAATATTATCCAAAACGTATGAGCTTTTTTTGTTGTTGGTATCATCTATGAAATGTAATTTTGTTTCCTATGAATTTGTTGAATGGAAGCACAATTTTTTTTTTTAACAACATTGAAGCCTACAGATGGAAGTCAATTTGAACAGTCATCCTTTCTCAAACCTCTGCTACCATATGTCAACTTCACAACCTTTATAAATGGCAAGTCAAACCATTTTGTCAACATAGTGATTAATTCCTCTTTAACGATTTTTGGGTATACATACATCATACATGTGATAATTTCTTTTTGCTCAGTGCAAGTCCAGGGGGTGTTTCACAAAGGCTAAGACCGACTTTAAGTTGGACTTAATTATGGCAGCTTGTTAATGCCACTGGTTGCTCTCACAATTGGTCTCTCAGTTATGATCCTTAGATAATATTTTTTCCTTTACTTAATGAACCATCAAAAAAGGTAAATTCTGTAGATTTGTGAACATGATTTGTACGTCCCTCGATAAACTGATGCCGGGAATGGTTAGAGGAACAAGTGGCATGAACAGCTTGCCATAGCTAAGTCCAACTTAACGTTGATCTTAGTCTTTGTGAAACACCCCCCCCCCCCCTGTAAACATAATATCAAAACCAAATGAAAGGCAGGGTGGTTACCTTGTAATGTTCCCAATGCTTTGGGACATAATCTTCAGGTGTCTCAGCATACTCTGCCTCTCCTGTGAATGAAAACAAAAAACAAAGACTGATAGAGAAGGAGGGGGGTAAACATCAAAAGGAATATTAAAGGGATCCAGTAACTTTGTCTCAGATTCTGAAACAAAATCCTGGATTTAGCTCATGCTGCAATAATAATTATAAACCTTTAGGTCAGTCAAGAATCCCATTGCTTTTACAAACCAATCGCCTGTCTGTCTGATTATCAAGATATTTATGATTGGAAATTCAAATTTCATTTTTATAACACTACAGTCTGCTGGGGAAAATGCAGTGAAAAAAATACACAGGGGCTCAGGGCGAATTTGCCCCCGAAATGCCCAAAAGAGCCCCTGAAAATCAGAAAAGAGCCCCCATAAATTTGCATAGAGTTCAATGCAAAACAAATTTTAGAGTGTTATTTTTATGCAGGCAAGCTTGAAAAGTAGCCCCCGAAAAATAAATATTATTTTTTTCCCTGGGAAAATGAGTATGGTAAAACTGGTCACTCAAAGATTTTTTAACTTTTTTGAGGCACTTTTTTTTAGGGCTTCAATATTACACCATATCACAGACACTGGTAACATGTAGGGTCATGCATCTCAGATTTAACATTGTTAAACAATGCCTCAACAATAGTTGAGTTTTGTTGCAGAGGGCGCTACACAAAATAATTTTTTGTGAGATAATGAAAAACTGAGAGTCAAATTTGAAAGAATATAATATTTAAATGACAAAATCATCTTTGTTTGATCAAAATCGGTTCAGAGACGGCTGAAATATAACGATTTCTAATACTTGTGTACCACCACAAATATTAGATATTTTGAAAAATTTGAAAAAATCGTTGAAAAAACGAATTAACGCCTTTTACGTCGTATTTCAGCCAATACCGATGTTGGCTTTTTTGTTGGCATTTTCTTGTCGCTTATACTACCCACAATTAGCTGGCTCATGTATTGTTATTTTTAATTAAATAATTAATTAACGGTCACCATGTTTTTTTAAAAGTGGAGCTGAATTGGTATGATCATATATGGCTAAATTTCATAAATTTTGGGGTCTAAAATTACCTTCATAGCAATTTTAGGTTCTAAAAGGGCACTGTAAATGTCATAGATAAGAATAAGAGCAATAACCATGCACTTTGAAGGCATTTGCGGTCTGAAAACAGAACTCAACTATCGCTTTAATCTTATTATCTTACCTATAAATACATTGATGAGGGTAATCACAATGACTACGGGTACTCCAGTCAGCAGGAAGTAGTATCTCTGAAAACATCAAAGAAAATATTGAGAGAAAACAAGAGAGAGGGAGAGCACAAGAGAAGTGACAGAGTTTGAGAGAAAGTGAGAGAAAGTGAGAGAAATGAAAAAAGAGGCACAAAAAATGAATGGTATTATTATTCAGGTTTCATAGATACTCGGTTCATACTAGTATCCTTTTTGAGCCATATTCCAAGCATTACAGAGATGATTCCAAATAAAAAGGTATCATTTACAACTTATTAAGGGTCAGTTTTATATAGGTTTCAAAAATACTCATTTATACATATAATATCCTTTTTTAAAGCCTTTTTCTAAGCATTACAGATGATTCCACATTAAAGGTAATAAAAAGTTTTGGGAAATTTTGAAAATTGGGTGGATAGTGAATCTTTACAATTTTGATATATTTGGATGCCCCTGTGGATGTATTATAAGCACTACAAAAATTAGCCCCTAAAACACTTCTGTTTTCGAGAAAAATTAAATATAAAAATTTACCGGTGCTCCCGGTAAATTTTGATAAATTTCAAATAGCGCCTATGGCCGTACAATGGTAGCTGCGACCATGAAAATCTCAGAATGTGTAGTTGGGATATATAATTTCCAAACGGGAATAGCTAATCGGTCGATTTTAGTCAAGAAACATTGTTTCATAGCTAAATTATTATCTTGACCTTGAGAGGGAGCTATACAACATGAAGAGTTTATTATTTATAATTTCATAACTTTAGACTCGATTTCAACCGCGACAACGCTCAATGTATATTGTAGGAACGCATATGCTTCCAATATGTTAATTTGAACTAAATTCATGACCCCCATCCCAAAACTTTGTAATACCTTTAAATGGTATCATGTTCATTGTACAAGATTTATTCCACCTCGTTGTCACCAACATGTCCAGGACAATGTGAACAAATTGCAATAACACCTTATCCACAGCTTACAATTTATAAAAGAGTGAAGGTCAAGAGGTCAAACTTGTACTTATGCAGATGACGTTACTCTTTGCCACTTACATTATTCATGAAGATTCAAAAGCAACCTTGCGCAACATTGCTAGTCTACCCCACCAATACTAGGGTGTCTGAACGATTTTTCAATTTTCAATTTGGGATCGTTTTTCACCATTTTTGTTTGATATTTGAATTAAAAATGTAATCAGAATAATACATTTCAAATTTCAAGTGTCGCCGATGTTTCTATCAAAAGATACAGCCCCTTCAAAACGCTGAAATATTCATAGCATTTTGCTCAGAATCGACGAAAAAGACGTACACGCAGAGTTATGTTGTTTTGCTAAATTTAGCCAAACAGCTGTATCGCGCGATATGCAAGCGTATGCATATCGTACGCAAGTTGCTCAGCCAATGCGCGACTTGCAAGCTTGAGCTACGCTGTCTCCGCGACACGTGCCATTGACTAGTATGGTTAGCGTTCGTCGCACAAAAAACCCGGAAGTGAATGCACGTTATAGTCAATGGCAATATCGCGGAGATGTCTCCGCGATATTGCCATTGACTACAACGTGTATTCACTTCCGGGGTTTATAGTGGGAACGGCCATCCATACTTTCATTCACTATAAGCGCACATGTTACGCGATGTAACCATGGTTTGGACTGAGCGGAGCTCACGCCTCCCTAATTAGCTGATTCCAAAAATGTGGGAGGGTATTTTCAAACTGTTATAACAAATGATCCCTTGGGGCTAGCAAAAAAAAAAGCATCTGGATATTATCCTTACGTCTAGCCCTGCTTAAGCCGCGGGGCGGCAGCTCAGGAAAGTGGCAAATTTTGGAGCTAGGATGCAAACAACATTTCAATCGCTATTTTGACCAAGATATTTTTAGAATTCTGGGGGTGGCCCCCGATGGGGAATATGGAGAAAAACCTGCTCTTTCATATGACACCTCATTTATTGAGTTTCACCTTCAGGATCATTTGTTATAAAGGTTTGAATTTCAAATTTTTTCATAAAATCATTGACCAATTTTGGATGGTCGCGCAATGCACGTAGACCACATAGGGAAGCGTACAATCTCTATGGGAAGGGTTTTAGCACACAACATTGGGTGCGCGATCAGACACCCTACCAATACATCATTAGTTTAGTACGAAACAGATTATGAATGTGCTTATCACTCACCATGGCTCTGAGAAACCGTAGATCTGTGTATCTGGAAGCTTTGATGAACATCTTCCCACCCCCTCCAGCCATCCCTCTAGCGATGAGGGCTCCAGCTACATGGACAGAGAGAGAGAGAGAGAGAGAGAGAGAGAGAGAGAGCAAGAAAGTGAGACATTACATACAGACAGAAAGAGAAGAGAGAGTGAGTGGAGACAGAACAAAAGAAAAGACAGACAGGTGACAGAGATGGGGAGAGAGGGAGTAAGCATGGCAGATTGATGGACAAAGACAGATAGACAGGAAGAGACGAGACAGAGATACAAAGAGAGAGACAGTGAGAAAAGATGGGAGAAAGAAAAAGAAAGATAAAAATTGGAAATAAAAAAATGGACCAGGAAGAAATGACACCATTTCAAAAAGAGAGAAATAATAGGAAGACAAAGCCAAAGGGGGAATGGGGTATGAAAAAGAGAGTTATTTATCATTAACTAAATTTTTAATACTTTGAATTTTACACTGCCAGGTCAGGTGTTTATCTGCAATAATTGACAATGTGTAACTTTTTGGACTTGATTTCTAAAACGTGTTAAACTTAACATTCACAGATGTTCATTTTCTCACAATTTAAAAAAAGCTTCAAATTAAATTTGCCAATCTTCAAATAAATATTTGTAATGTTGCGAATCGTAAATCAAATAAAAAATTATTAAAATATGCATCGTAAATATCGTATAATATAGTACTGCGATAGATTGTTTTACAGAAGGTCTAGATAGGTCGAGATCTACTTGGGAAATGAAAATTCAAACGAGCTGGAGGCATGGCACGGACATAGTCACTCGGCAAACACGAATGGCAATGTATGGGACTGATTATTCTAAAACGAGAATTCTTGAAGTCACATTACATCTTGAAGTTGCTCAAAACTCAATACCGCATTACTTGGAAAGCAACAAAATATCACAAACCCTACCTTGACTATTCTTTGGGGCACATTTGGCAGGAACTGCCCCTCGTAAAAGCGGTGAATTTAGCCGCACAACCTGCAAGCTCCTAAAGAGCAGTCTCGTCCCAACAAACGCCATTTTGTCCGACAGTAGAACACTTAACGCCCCCCCCCCCGCCCCCCCCCCCCCCCATACCAATTTTGTTTTTTTAAGTTGTACAGGGGGGGGGGGTCAGTGATGAATGGCATGCTTGTCAATTCACTGATGTAGTTTTTTAAAAAAAAATCTTCTTCTTCCCCGCATATAAGCCGCATTGCCGGACAGGTCTATGAAATCCCAGGCCATGCAGCTGCAGCTTTTACTTTCCAATATCATCTTATTATTGATCTTCCTGCCTAGAGTCTAGACCCTATACCTCAAGTGAATAACAATTTATTGTTCCATCTCCCTTTATGAAATTTGAAATCAATTTCAATTTTTAGAGGGGGACGTATTTCGCGGAAAATAGCTCAATTAAAAGTTATATCTCTTCTTTAATTTATTTCCTGAAATTTCGAAATCTCAATCCCATTGGTGGCAAAGGTGCTGCATGCTGTACCACCCTTCCCTCACCCCCTTTGATCCATCCCCCCCCCCCCCCCGCCTCCACCCCATCTCTCTCTCCTTTCTCTCTCTCTCCCTCCCACCCTCTCTCTCTCTCTCTCTCTCTCTCTCTCTCTCTCTCTCTCTCTCTCTCTCTCTCTCTCTCTCTCTCTCTCTCTCTCTCTCTCTCTCAATCGTTTTAGCAAAAAAAGTGCATAATATCCTGACAACAAATGAAGAATTACAAATCTCACTATCATTGAATTGTCATGTTTTATGATTTGCTCCATTCTTACGATTATAAAATTACAGATACAGCAACATGATTTAATCAAAATATAAACTGATTTTGTAATCAATACAAATCAATTAGGGCTACAAAAATAGCCAATGTTAATGTAGCAAATATGAACTATATAAAACAACTAAAAATGAATAAAGATTAAGGTTTGTTAGAATGAAATATATACCGGTAGTTAGATATAAATTTCAATTTTCATTGATGTTTGCAGAGATTGTCCATTCCGATTATCAGGCCCTTGTCATTAACTATAATGATAATAAGTTTGTATTTGTTATTGTAATTAAAATATTTTGTCCCTGATTAAATAACAATAAAAATCACTTAAATAATATCCTAGAATTCCTGATTCTATAGCAAATTCTTAAAAAATTATTACAAAACCCTTGTAGACTGGGCTGCAGCATCAATGATATATATTTCAAGGTATCTAACAATCAATTTCTTCTAATCAGTTTTAAATATTTATATTTTACATGAATAATAATAGTAATAATAAAAAACGGTACTATAAAGCGCATCCACCAAAGTCTCCTATTGCTATAACATAAAACAATGACAAAAATAATATATTAAACAAAAATTACAAATAAACTTGCAAATAAATTACAATACATATGAAATATACATCAATATAAATAACATATATAAATTCATATGTACATACTAAAATTGTCTACTTTAAAACCACTCCCCTAGCTACAAGATATCAGTTTCACACACAAGTACCTAGGTTGGTTCACCATGAAAGCTTCCGATAAAAGTTATATATACAGTATTAAAACTTTACAAGAACAAAATAGGTGTTTTCAAGCAGGTTTCATTTTCACAATTGTTACGAATTATTGTAATGTCAAAAATTGAACACTACCTGAGAATAAGCTGGGCCGTTTCACAAAACTTGTTATCAATGACAAATGACAGTTTTTGTTATAAGCTAGTGAAATCCTTGCTTCTGATTGGTCATCATCAGATTTGTCACTGGTTTTTGTCATTTGTCATTGGAAAAAGACTTTGTGAAACACCCCCCTGGTCATGCTCATGCAAACATGACATGTACTGTAAGTAGCCGGTTTTGATTATTGCGAAAAACATCAACTCCCTAAAATGTATGTGTCCCTGACATCTGTGAAAATGACTTACGGGGGATATCGGCTTATACAGTCTCGTAAAATAAAGTTCATTTTTCTACAATGTACATATTATAAAGGAAGCGATGATAAAATGTACAATATACGGTAAGTCAAATATCAGAGCAATATACAATATGAATATGTACCGGTAGATACAAAAATAGAAAATAGAAAATTATTGCGTCTCTGTGTAATGGTACTACGACTGAAGATTGCAATGGACGGTACACAAAAATGGACGGTACACAAACATGGACGGTTCACAAAAATGGACAGCACACGGAAATGAAATGGATTAAAATGCCATTTGACATTTATAATCATCATCTTTGGATTTTCAGTTTTCTTCTGTTGTTTCTTGACGTGGAAGGATGGGACAGAAGAATTCAGTTTTCTTCATGGAATTATTTTGATGCAGGTCCATTTTGTATAGCATTCACATTACCATGTCACTAAGTATGAAATTAAACGGTAGATTTCTCCATACATGACCATTATTAAACATTTCTAAAACATTGTTCATCATGTACAGAAAATCAATGTCATATTAACCAGTTGTGAGTATTATCAGTCAATAAACTCAAAAGGCACAGATTTTGTATACCAGTACACACTACTCATTCAAATTAGCAGTACACTTTGTTTAAATATTTCTAACTACACATCTGGAATACTTGGAAATGGAAAGGAAAAGGCACAGATTTTGTATAGACTTACTCATTCAAATTATACTTTGTTTCAATATTTGATAGCTAGTGCACACCTGAAATAATTGGAAAATGGAAAGGAAAAGGCACAACTAGTTATTTATCCAAACACATTGAAATCTTACAGATATAAAGCTAAACACTATATAGAAAAGAATGAATAAAGTTAAACAATTTGAATTTGCTGAGGATCTGAATCTGATGAAAATGAATTCTTAATATTTATATGTGATGCAGATTCCAATTATAACCTCTCATTTACTCATCTAAAAACTTTAGAAGTTAAAATTTTAAAAAAAGTTTAGACAAAAATCAATTTAGTTATGGTGTACAAATCACTAGAAATTATTTTGCTCTGCATCATTAAGACAATCTCAAAGAGCACAAAAACTAGTCGGCACCCCTTCAGTATGTGCTTGTAGTAAAATAGGGCATGCAAAAGCCCAACTTCGACCTGGGTTCCGTTACATTATCCGTCATTCTCTTCGTACCCATAGCAAACAAGATTATGTTTTTTCAACTTGAAGGTTTATTTTATATATAAATTCAAGCTCTACACAAATTATATTATGTGGTACTGTTATACTTGAAAGCACTGTAATGTAGGAACGAACACTACACTACATGTAGCTAGATCTATTTTGACTAATCCAAACTTTGCTTGCATGATTAACACTAATGTTCATTAAAAAATTGATCTTTAATTCATCCTATAAAAATATCACCATCCTCTGTCCATAAATATAGTTTTTTGATGCTATCATTTTTGTTCATTTCCAGCTAGATCCACATACAATTTGCGAAATTTGAGTTTGAATGTGAGTTTTACTATTAGCGTAGTTGCAACATAATTTAAAGTGTATTCACAATCATTTACTTCATTCGTAATGTAATAGGAATATGGTTAAAATCACCACATTTTGATGAATTCTGAGTTTAAAAGAGAAAGATAATAATACATGTAATATCATTCTGGATTTATAGTAATAATAATAATAGTAATATTCTGCTTTTATATAGCACTTAATACATAATGTCTCTAAGCGCTTTACAGATATATCATTAACCCATCATTGGATTCAGGCTTGCCCGCACACAATGTATGTACATTCTTCACTCCCTGGGGAGCATTCCAGTGGTGTGTATATATATATATGTATATATATATATAAATATATATATAGTAGTTAATACACTATCTCTACAATGTCTTTTATGCTATATGGATTGACCCCTAGACTACACAATTGTTTTGAGTATCTGCGAGTATACACTGTGTGCAAAGCAAAATTAGACTCTGGAAGTACACTTTTTGATCCATTGGTCAAATAAAGCTGGTAAATAACTAAGGCTCACTCAGATACGATGTGATGAACCTTTACATTTAAACAAAAAATGTGGCAGCTCTAACTTCTATAGCCAGAGAGTTGTAAGCAGATGGAACAAGCTGCCACAAACTGCCACTGATGCTCCCACACTCCTCGAAATCGAGTCTAAAGTTATGAATTTGTAAATAATAAACTGTTTATGTTGTATAGCTCCCTCTCAAGGTCAAGATATTGATTAAGCTATAAAACAATGTATTTTGACTAAAATCGACCGATTAGCTATTCCCGTTTGGAAATTATATATCACAACTACATGTTCTGATATTTTCATCGTCGCAGCTACCATTGTACGGCCGTAGGCGCTATTTGAAATGTATCAAAATTAACCGGGAGCACCGGAAAATTTTTATATTCAATTTTTCTCGAAAGCAGAAGTGTTTCAGGGGCTAAATTTTCTGGTGCTTATAACACATCCACAGGGGCATCCAAATATATCGAAATTGTAAAGAATCATTATCCACCCAATTTTCAAAAATTCCTGAAACTTTGTATTACCTTTAATGAATGACAACTGTTCACTGAGCTCTGTGTTAGAAGATACAGAAATATGAAGCGTATTGCAAATTATGTCGCCGTAAAAAAGCCACCACAGTAAACCAATGTATATATCCGAACAAGGCTTTTCAGAGGTTGTTATCTACAGGTAATTAGGTATGCAACAAACATATCCCTTTGTATTTTATCAATGTTGTATAATATGGTATTTGCCACTCTTAACCCAGGTGGTAGGAAAGAATCCCTTGACTGCTCTGAGCAGTGAAATCGGAAGCCTCTATGTAGCTACAGGCGGGGTAATAGTGGAACGCCTTGAGCACCGTACGTGGTAGATATGTCCCCCACAAAAATCTCTAATATTAATATTATGATAATCAACATCATAAACTTGCAATGTACGTACGTGGTAGATACGTGGTAGATATGTGCGCTACAAAAATCTCTTATTGGCAGTGGCAGTGTTCTGAAGGAAAACAAATGGAAAAGCATATAATACAATGTCAGAGAGTCCCGAGAAGGGACTTCTTTTGGCATTCTAGACCTCCCAAAACTTTCAAATTATGACCAGATCAAGATCAACATTTCTCCTTTAAATTTTTTGAAGAGATTGGTCATCTTTGATAGAATATCTCTCACATTTTATTGCAAGATTTTGGTTAAAAAACCCTTGTTGTTGAAAAAAAAAGGAAAGGCTAAAGATCACAAAGAATTGCTAAGCGAGGTATTTAAAGATGCCACAATGCAGCTAGTACTACTTAGATAACTTAACAGTTTGGAACCAAAGAATAAGTTAGAAAAATAATGGTCTATAATGATGTTCTAAAATGATAAAATAATGATCTAAAAACTGCTAAAGCACACATTTATTACTATTTTAAAAAATGAAGAAAGAAACCCGAGTTTGTTTCTTATAGCCAACTTTGGCTAATTTTCATTATACTTTGGCTGCCTGCCATTTCTACCTTCCCATCAACCTCAGGGTTTGTAGGTTCTGCAATATCATTATGCAACCTACGCTTTACCTTGGCACCATTCTTTTCCCTAGAAGGGGTGTCCATGTCCGTTTGAGTCGGAGGGGTCTCAGGGACAAACACTGGGTTGTGGACGACCCCTCGCGCTGGGTCGGCACTACGGCACCCATTGAGAAGGGGAGAGGAAGGGTGCGGGTCATCGCAGGTGCGCTGGAACATCTGGAGTTTGAACTTGGGCGTGGCGAGCTTCTGACGCCACTCCTCGTTGTTCCACAGCGTCCGCATCTCGATCTCCGCCTCTCCCTGCTGCTGGCCCTTCTGGTGTCTCCGCCCCGGCGACTTACTCCTGCTTTTTGCGGCCCTCTCTCGAGACCGAGCCTTCCCGAGTTTAGGACTACCAACAACATCATCATCGATTTCAGAGATGACCGTAACATCCACAGGACTGTGGCTCTGTTTTGGCTTTCCTTGAGAAGTTCCCTTCTTATGCTTTGAACCCATACCAGGTTCATTTCGTATACCCGTCAAGTCTGTATGAGGCATTCCTTGGGTAACAGGTGGAGGGAACTCTTGCTGGGTGGACTTGCGTCCCGAAGCAGACACGTTTGCGACGGGACCGACTCTCCGGGCTTGGTGGGGTGAACGGGGCAATCGTGGTGATCTACTTCCGGGTGATAGCGACCTTTCAACCTCGTCCACGCACTCTACGTGAATGATAGGTATGGGACTGTTCATCTCACGAGGAATGGTTTCAGTCTCAAATTTTGCTTCTTCGGTCTTTCCAATATCTTTCATTTTCGGTCTATTCTCAGGAAGCTTTTTTCTTGTGTTGGATACCACAATGTCTTCCTTTCTCATTGCACTTCTTATATCATATGACTTAGTTCTTCTTCCTTTTTCAGGCATATTTGATGATGATCCTACATCTATTACCGTCTCCTGCTGTTGGTGGCTGCCATGTCCTGATGGTCCTCTAGCCCCTTTTCCATAATTTTGATCTGTTTTCTTACTAGAAAATCTCAAATCTGCTTCCTCATCAGACAGTATTTCAAGCATTTCCAGTTCGCCGGTCCCATGTCGACCATCACTGTGGCCGAAATCCCCCAGCAAACTCTTCTTTCCTGTTCTCATGTCAACCACGTAACCTGGATTATCTAATCCATCCCCCTTTCCTTTCTTCTTGTGCTTATCCCTCTTCTTAAAGAGGTGTCCCTTGATCCCTTTCCTCTTGTTGTCATCACCATGGTCACCAACTCCTATGTCAATAATCGCATCTTTGTCTCTCGTCCATTTCCCACGGTCCATCTTATCAATCGACACTTCAAAATCTTCATCGTCATCACCATCATCCACGATTGTTACATGAGGATTCTCAAAGCCATGCTTGATTCTTCTAGCATGTCGACTTTTCACCGGTGTTGATATTGCTTGTACAGGTTCCCCGTCAAGGTTTATCGTCTCGAGACCCTCCATGTCGATGGTGGCGCTATCGGGACTCTGCCGGGAGGACGAAACAACGCTCACGTCCGTTAACTCCCCATCATCTATGATACCTGGTAGGGGTGTTGAAGGTGGTCTGCTGGGTAGCTCATGTACTTCTACCACTGCAACCTTTTTGCTTGCTTTGACATCCCCAGGATCGTCGCGTCCGATGGACACCTCCAAGAGATCATCTAGAGCAGTCTCCTGCTGCACAGGGTCGATGTCCACCGTTGCGGACGGCACACTTTCAAACGAGTGGCAACGAACTGCTTGAAGATTTATATCACTGCTTGCACGAGCATCATTCTCCTCGACACCTAGGCTATGCCTAGATTTAGTCCTAAGGGTGGGGTGACTAGTTGTCATATTGCTGTACATGCCTTCGGATATCACCACAATGTCGTGCGGATTGTACGCATGGATGTTGGTGGGCATGGAGTAATTGATGCAGGAGTGGAGCTGGTACTTCTCCTTGAGGAGCTTCCGGACGGCATCCTTCATGGGCAGTTGGATGATCGCAACCGGGATGGTCTTGGTGCTGTACCGCTGCCTGACGCAGACAGCTACGTGAACAGTCTTGGAGTCGACCATCTCCTGAGTGACCTTCTGATACTCGAGAGCCTTGCTGAACTTGAATGTCGACGGAAGGAACACGGCCTTGAAGCTGTCACGCGTCCCCTTGCGTTTGAGGGTCACCAGACTGTTCATCATCTTGGTCGGGTCGTCGATTCTGATCTCGTCCGTCTTGCGTTTGGATTCGCCCTTCTTGTCTGGTAGGAGATGACCTCGGATGTAGATCCTTGAGAGGTTGGAGAACTCAGCTGGATGGAAATAGACAAAGAAAAAGAATACTCTACTGAATTGTCTATGAAATCATTAATACTTTTTCATTAGTTTTATAAAATTTATAATATGTGACATATATGGACAATGCGACTCGGGGTCATAGCAGGATGTAACGTCCCCTTGAGCCTATAGAAACAGCTATGCCTCTCATAGCAGTCAATATATCTATATTATTACCCCGCTCATTGATTTCAATTGCTAATCCGAACATGATAATGCACATGCTCCACTCCCTGGGGAGTATTTCATGGTATATACCTTTCGGATTGGATTGGAATATGCCTTACCTGGAGGTAGAAGAACATCTTGAAGGGACCACACCCTAATCTTGAATGTCTTGGCTTTAGAGTTGTATTCAAAGGACAGCTGCAAAGTTCCTGTCACTGAAAAATATTAAAAAAATGACAAAACAAACAATCACTTTAAGCCCCACTGTACTACTTATAGCTACTTGCGCCCTCTATATAGCAATCAATGCCTAATCGATGCCTGTTGCTCCCCCATGATCCTCTTTGTCTTATGTTAATTGAGAGCTGATTTGATGAGATAACCACCGTCAGTGACCATGCTGGGAGGTCTAATCCCCCTGGCCAACTAGTACAGACAGGCTTTAACTTTACACACATGTATTTTAAATAGTTCTTCCGGCATTTTGAATCATCACAAAAGAAGGCATGCTTGTAGACGACATTTAACATGTCAAGGACAAAACTTTGAGTAACTAGAAAATGTGCAATATACTGGGGTAACTGGAAAGTTATAACCATTTCTACATTTACAGCTTAACAATTTTGATGCGAGGAATTATGTAATCAGCATATTGCAGCATGTCTATAAATCTGTTAACAATGGTTGTTGAGACAAGACTGTCTCATGTCAACACAGAGAATTCTGGCAATATGACGAGCTCATCGTTAGTTGATCATCTATTAATTGTCAACTATTTGTGGAATCATGTGTTCCACCATTCTGTCATAAGGATAATACTTTGAAGGTAACCAGTAACTGACTGATCCTGTTTCATTAAATTTGTTATCAATAATAAGTTTAAATAAGTGTTATCGCTGTATTTGATTGATTGATTGATTTGATCGACTGTCATAGGACTCTAACCATTTTGTTACTGATATTACAACTTTTATCAAACGGGCCCAGATTTGATTGATTGACGACCAGTTCTAGAAATAATACAATCTAATGAAGAAGAATTATCATAAATAGCAAGCATCATGATGAATAGCAACTATTATATAACTAGAGCAGTGAAACCTGTCTATAAAGACCACCCAAAGGAGACAAGAAAAGTGGGCAGGCGGTCTATATGTACAAGTTCAGTTTGTACATGTTTCAATAAAAAAACATTTTCAAAGGAAACAAAAGATGTTGCCTTTGTAGACAGGTGGTCATTAAAGCAGGTTTGACTGTAATAACTCACTAGACTTTTTCCCTGATGTTTTCTTGGTCTCCAAGACCTTGATAGAATCCCAAGCTCTCGGGGATGCGATCCTCCCCCCAGCTTCATAGGTGTTGCCTCCTGCATCGTTAGAGGTCACAACCTCTGACCTTTGACCCTCCGACCCAGCTAGCTTCTGCTTGGAGACGGTGATACGGGCTGCATCCAGCGTCATGTTCAAGAAGCTTCTTGTTTCTACCAAAGCAAAAGGATAAATTGCAGATGAGCTTCTGAGAACACCATAGGCAAATATTCAAGTACTACCTGTAACAAAATTGTAACCTTTTATTGTTAATAAATTTTTTATATATTTCCTGAACATTTATAAATCTAACCAGTGTCATTAAAATCATTATTTCTCAATGAAAGCTTACAAGTGCACATAATGCCTTAGTCACACCTTTGCACATTTGTTTTCTGTTGTAAAGCAATGGTAATTCTTGATGTCAAGAAATCAATTTCTTGATATCAAGAAATTGGGATAAATGTTAAAACAGCTAGCCATAAATACGCAGCAGTACGCAAGCCAAATACGCAAAGGTGTGACTGAGGCATTAGGTACAAACTTAATTCTAAGAACCAACAGACCAGAGAAAATGGTCCTTACTTTCTTTATCCAAAATCGGCCGACATTCTTCCGCAGCCTCGTCGAGTGGCGACTTGCCCCCGTTGTTCTCTACATCGTAGCGCCCTCCTACTTTGAGAAGAGCCCGGAGACAATCCGTGTGGCCCTCTCTGGCGGCGTAGTGAACAGGTGTGCAGCCTTCCAGATCATCACTGCAGTTGGGATTGCCTGAACAATGAAGACCAGCAAAAAAATAAAAATATATATATAAATACAGTCAAAGTGGTCTTTGTATTCAATTCAATTCAAAGGTTATTCAACACTCTTCATAAAAACATTTAAAACACAAATACAGAATGGAATGATAAAAAAACAAGAAAGTGATAACAAATAACAATGACAATTCATAAGAGCATTTAGGGTAGGCAGAAAGGAGGGGTTCCTTATATGAAAGCCTACCCCTGAAACATACACATACAGGAAAAGATCTAAACAACAGAACAAAAAAATATATACATACTAAAAAATGCTGTCATGTACAATCAGACTAAAAAAAAGTATCAAACTTGCCCATGCTATTAATACTGATTAATACTGATTGTAGACAGGTGGTCTTTGAAGACAGTTCCCTTTTGTACATGTTTCAATGACAAACCATTTCCAAGGGAGCCAAAAAATGTGGTATTGGTAGACAGGTGGTCACTAAAGCAGGTTTGACTGTATAAACACTGTATATACATGTATATATCTAATTGGATACACTACCCTGCCTTTTCTACTTTATAAGAAAATAAAATGTTCCAGCTATTCAGTTTATGCAGTGTGAGTCCAGCTTAATGGGTACTTATTTCTTAAATGATAAACTGGATCTTGTTCAAAACAATACAGGCCATGTTGAGACTAATTTACTATTCTGATCGTGGGGGCCAAACAGGGAAAACTGCATGGGCAACAATTTAGCTCTGGAAAACTGTTTAAAAGATCTTATATAAAACAAAAGTACAAAAATCTTTAGAATATCAAAGCACATAAAATCAATGCAACAAAATGGAATGCTCCCCAGAGAGTGGAGAATGTGCATACATTGTGTGCGGGTAAGCCTGAATCCGATGACCAGGGTAATAATATATATGTCTGTAAAGCGCTTTGAGAGGGCCTTCGGTCCTGAAAAGCGCTATATAAGAACCAGCTATTATTATAACAAGTCTTATGAAACAGGGCTCAGGACCAGATTTATTCCTTTAAGAAACAGGGTCCAGACTTACCTTTGAACTGAATCAGCAGATCCAGGATATCCATATCTCCATTAGAAGCAGCCTCGTGCATAGGACTCCAGCCATAGAGACCGATGGAGTTGGGGTCGGCCCCATCTTCCAGGGCACTTTCCACCAGGTTAGAGTCGCCGAAGTGGACAGCTTCGTGCAGTTTGGTGTCTGCTGCCATCGTGGTGGTCACTGTTTAACTACGTCATGCTATAACGTAATGGAGCTGCTGCACCTCATGCTTTGTGATGGATGGTTGTGTTGGAATGTCTCACATTCTGGTCAGCTCCTGGGAAACACAATAGGATATCAAAATTTATAGTTGCAATTAGAAATTAATTTGTATCTAGAGTAAAGCAGCCGGTAATCGGCCAGCTCCAGTTTTCGGCCGATTGGTTGCATGCAAGGTAAAATCACTCTAAAATACATCGCATAATAGCATAACACATATCCCACACATACCATACCATGCCAGTGTCACTGAAGAACCACATTTGCAATGAAAAATATATCCTAAAATATCACATTTTAGCGATGTAATCGGCGGTCTCGCTACCCGAATCTGAAAAATCGAGTATCTTACGCGTGTCTGTAAGAAATATGGGTACCATAAAATGAGCTTTATTTCAAGTATTTTTCAGATTTAGAGCCCGATTTTGTGCTAGTCGCAAGCTCAAAAGTATCTCATCGCATGTATTAAATCAATGCAGCCGCACACCGCAACGCACACACGATATGTCTGTCTAATTCAGATTCCAACTTCCGATCACCGCTGTGCCTGTCTTCAGCCAGGCGAGCACCAGGGAGCTCCGGCGTGGGATACCTGCTCCGCCCGCTTGTGCTGTACATCAGCGCGGAAACGCACGGCGCGCGCAAGCGCTTCCTATTGACTTTGTACATGCGGCCGTAAACTGAAACGCTCGGCCGATAACTGGCTCCAAAACAGTGAAAATTGAAATGAATATTGTCATGGCAATTCTTGATTTTTTTTCTGGGATTCTTTTTTTGTTTAAATAATGATAATATTTGCTTCATGATTTGAACAAGAAATGATAATAAATAGGAAGTAAAGAGTCCAAAAAATAGGATTTTGTCTTAAGTGGCCGAAAACGGGCTCCTTTACTCTATAATTTTAATGTCTCTTTTTTTTTCTTCTTGTCTCATTATTGATGAATTAAATATGCATTTCTGCTGGCCAGCTAATGAGCAGAATCTCAAACAGGAACTGCTTTTCTTTTAGCGGAATCAGCAGGGGGTCATTTCATGAAACCAACAAGGAATGGGTTTTGTTTTTACTTTTTCAGTTTTTGTTTGAACTTTGAATCACTCTTCACGATTGATCACGCAGCTCAGAATGTGGGTAGCCGTACTGATTAAGGCTAGAATAGATCTAGATCTAGGTATATCAATATCAATATCATATTCCATATTATCACCTAGACCTTAAGGCTCACCTTTATAGAGTGAGGCAATATCCATTATTAATTTTTGCAGTTCACGTTCAGGTGCATGCATAGCTAGTTAGCGCACCGTGTGCCGCATGAACTGAAGCGCATCGTCGCGAGCCTTACCAGCCGCAACTGTCGGGCAGCTCTTCCTGCTGTGACTGGTTAATACCCGACGCGATGCGATGCCTTGCGATTAGTTAGTTTACACAACTTCATTTGACGTTCATTCTCACATACACACATTAAAAACCATCCAAATTATTAAACAAAAATATAAGAATTAAAATTAAAAGACTAATAGAGAATATCAATGTTTGTTTTACCCAATGGAAGACCGTTTCCGAGTTTTATTTTCGGCTTTACTTCCGTGGCAACATAACGCTATCTCAAGATCTGTTGTATGATGGGAATGATGTCAAAGGTGATGAGCAATTAGGAGACGAGACATCTCGTGATATTTTGTTCACCATGTTGTATTTATCGACCTGTAGCAAGTCGGTACCATAAATTAATGCATTAAAGACCTTGACCGGAGCAGAGCATTATATAGACAAATTATATACCTACGGACTCGTGAATATTTACTGAATATGAAAATGCAAACTTCTCGAGATTCCACGGCCTCTGAAAGAAGTATTTAGCATCCGAACCCCAGGATTCACGGATTTGAGAGGGGCACCCGGAGATTTAGTTTCGGCTGCGCTAGCCGGTGGCCGTTTCTACCCGTTTCTGATGACATCATAACGTGTAGGTTATTTGGCCACTCGGTATATCCTCTGGTTCTTCGCATGGTGGTCGGTATGTGAAGTTTTCTTCTCTCTTTTTTTGTTGTTGTAAATATCAATATCGAAGCTGTATTTGGACATTTTACGATTAGAATGTTGACATTTTCTATCTGTATTAATTTCACGCTACGTAATATGGAATATCAACCCCAAATTTCCACTAAATTAGATTGAAACGAATCATTTGCCCGCGCTGCTGGCTGCCTGCCTCGGTCTGCGATTGCACAACTTTCAGCAATCTATCGCTGAGCCTCGCGAGAGCACTCGGGCCGCGGCCGGCCCGGCCTGACTTGCCGCGCCGTGTCATGCTGGTGGTCGTGGAATATTTCTCGAACAAAACTAAGTTTCGCTCGCTTTTATCGCACAGATAGCCTTTCCTTTTGCATGGTTTACCAGCATTAAATCAAAGAATTATTTAGATCTACATTGTTTTATTGTCTAGAATATAGTCTGTAAACAATGAAAAATAAGAAGAAGATGAAATGGAGATTTTGAAGAAGAATTGGGCCTAAAAAAAAAGAAAAAGAAAACTAGACCTAGGTAGTTGGTAGAATCTAGGCCTTGGACTCGTGCCGCCCAGTGGCAGTGCACTGCAGTACAGTGAAGCCAGGAACTAAATTATTTTGAATTGATGTCAGAAATCACATGGGTGCCTCTTCTTGATACTTTCTCGTGATGAAAACACTGTTTTTTATTCAAATCAAAATGGTCTAGATCTAGTGTTGTTGCCAGGGATGATTATTAAAACAAAATCATCGGTCATTTGTTGTTGACTTTGCTTCTTGATCATGATTGCTAACTATTTAAATGAACTCTCCTTCACCTTTACCGCATATATTATATTCCCAATCTTATTACAGGTACAAAGGTGTACGACAAGCTTCGAGAGGAATGGCTGAGGACCAGACTGGTGAACGACATTGGGATGATGTCCCCACATGCCCAAACCAGCAAGGTTGAATCATTCCACAACATCCTCCTTCACTTTTGCCCCAAGTTGCTTGTATACTCATATCAAGGGATGAAGTGCAGGTAAATTAGGCAATTAATTCATCAACATTATGCTCCCCTAATATAAATTTAACAAGAACGTCACAGAGGGCAGTGTTGTTTCTTCTTCTTCTTCTTTTGAATTTGATTTTATTGGTTTTATGTTTTAAAGTTATTATTTTCTTTTTGTTATAGCCAGGTTCTTTCTATTTCATTTTTTTTTTTTTTTTTTTTTTTAATTATTTGTAACACATGCTTTTTACACTAACACTTGCCTTCACTTATTGGAGAGTAGGTAACGAGTTTATGATGATAGACATTACATTACCAAAAAGATAAAAATCAACTGTCACAAGTATGTTATTCATGTGACCTTTATTTTTAACTTCACTCTTTTCAGATTATATTTGGCTGTCCTACATTGGAACGAAAATTGTGATAGAGCCCAGGCTGTTGATGCCGAAGGGAGCCCAGTGTACAGGTTGAAGTATCCACACTCGAAGGAAGGAGGCCACACAGTGGAGAGAGTGCTGACAGCTGGCACATGTGGTAAGTAGCCACATGTCTAGTGAATGATATCAATATTCAACAAAAGAGCTCAATTATATATAGAAATCTTTTATTACTTCATGATCAATAGAATTCAAATTAGTAGATTCTTGTGGCCTATATGCCCTTAATTTAATCTGTTGATTAAATTGATAATTATAAACATGTATTGGGTTACTTTCTGCAAATGTGTAATATTGAATAGCAAGCAGAAACAGGCATATATGTCAGTCCCCAAGTCAGTGAACTACCTATTCAGCAAAGAACATGTGCATGCCATTGGTATTTGATTGGTCATCCACCTACAAATAGTGTGTAAAATTAGGTAATTCAATATTTGTGAGAAAAAGAGTTTTCTCTTCTTATGTTCTTATTTTTCTCTTTTCTTTTTTTCCTCTTATCAAAGTGTATTTTTTTAACACCGTATAGATGAATTTTCAAGGTATAGTTTTGGATTTTATCTTGTAGGTTATGTGAAAGCCCTGATGAGAGTTGTCGTAGAACTGGTGGAAAACAGGGAGCAGCTCAGAGACAACATGGAGGAGCTACAGCCTCAACCAGCACGGAGTGCCTCTCATCATCACCCCGACAATGGAGAAGCCGTGCAAGCTTTTGAACAACATCATCGCTTTGGCGATAGAAACTAGTTCTTTTGGTGATAGAAACTATGATGAATGTGTCAGCTACCTGAACATTAACCACTGATTGTTTTATTTCAGTACAATACATGTTTTTCATAGACCCTAAATTATGTTTATGCCAGTATAATTATGGAGAGTAACATGGAAGTACTCTATGCAAGTGAGTATTGGATTCCGATTCTATGTGAGTGTAAAGCACTAGAAACTTGTCTGTAAGCTTGTACATACTTACACAAGCCAAAGTCCATGGTACACATCAATAGTCATTGGTTTTAATAGGTAAAATACTTATTAAATTTGTAAAACTTACATTTTTAGTTCAATTAAAAACAATTTCTGAAGCATATGCACTAGATTTTCATAAACACTAAGTAAATCACTGTTGATCATGAATTTGGCACCAAATATAATCTGATTTTTCTCACAGTCCTTCATCTTGGCCAATGCTTTTTGCTTCTTATTTGCAAAAAATAAAAAATAAAAAAATGCATTTTTTTTTCATCTAAACTGTTCTTATTCAAGAACCATTTGATGTATTGCACCAGATATGACTTTATTTTTTGTTTTTGATTTTTTCCCTTTTCTGCCGAGGTGAATTGTGTTATTCATTTTCAAAGTTAGTAGTTTTAAAGATCATGCCATATTATCACAGAAGAGGAAACATTGTGATGATACTTCATCGCATCCATACTTTTTTTCCTAACAGCGGTTTCCTGTTTGTCCTAAAACCTGGTTATAAAAGATTGAAAAATAATCATCCTTGCAGATATAATAAAAATAGTCATCTATCCTGTAAACTTTACATAAAATAAGGATGAATGTAATGTACATGTTGCATCAAAGTTTTTGTTCCAATGGTGCATCATTTTGAAATATATTGCACATACAGAGAAGAAAATGATTGGGGGGAAAAACCGTCAATGGGATGTTCTGAGAATATTTTGAGCAAAGGTAAACAAAAATTCATCTAAAGGAACACAAATCTTGTTTGTTTATTTCTATTATAGGTGTCTTGTAGGAAGCTTCATAATTTAAAGATGGAAATTGCTGTGAAAATGAGAGTGAGATAGAGAATGTGAAGGAAGAAGAGGGATAAAGATAGATACCAATAGGGATAGAGTGAGAGATGTGAATGTGATGGATGGAAGAGGAGAAAGAGAGATTGTGAAAGAGTGAGAGATGGGAATGTGATGGATGGAAGAGGAGAAAGAGAGATTGTGAAAGAGTGAGAGATGGGAATGTGGAGGGTGGAAGAGGAAAAGAGAGGCAGAGGGAGAGAGTGAGAGATGGGAATGTGGAGGAAGAGGAGGAGGGACAGAGTGAGAGATGGGAATATGGAGGGTGGAAGAGGAGAAGGAGGGACAGAGTGAGAGATAAGAATGTGGAGGGTGGAAGAGGAGAAGGAGGGACAGAGTGAGAGATAGGAATGTGGAGGAGGAGAAAGAGAGGAGGGACAGAGTGAGAGATGGAAATATGGAAGAGGAAACAGAGAGAGGAAGTGGGATAGAGAGATGGGAATGTGGAGGGTGGAAGAGGAGAAAGAGAGAGGAAGAGGGACAGAGTGGGAGATAGGGTTAAGGTTTATCCTTTTTGGGAGGATAGATTTGATGCAAAATAAAGGATTTCCTGGATTTATTACGATGCTTACCATTTATCACACATTTGAAATTTCGTCAACCGCAATTCCCTTCTCTTACTCTCATTATTCCTCTGTCTATCTTTGTTGTGTCCATGCTGTTATTTCTCTTTCTCTCAATTTCGTTTTCTCTTTCAATTTCATTTTCTCTTTCTCTCCCCTTTTCTGACTCGGCAGGTTGACTGTATATGAAATGCTCAAATTATTAAAACAAATTACATTGCAGGGTGTATAACAAAAGAGAAGGAACAAGGCATGTTGTGTTTGTTTTTTTGTTTTTTTTTGTTGCTTGTTTATATAGATTTCAACATTCTTCCTCATAAGAAATCGTTGCTTGATCACAGTTTTGCAAAAGTTCGAATATCAGCTCTTGGAAATTAGAATCAAATGTCGAGATCAAAGTTCATAGCAACCATACCATCATGAGAAGTTCAAACAATAGTATTTGTGATGAATATGAAGATGAAAGCCGATGATCACAAATAACGTACAGAAGATGGCTGACAATCACATAGAAGATGACAGTCATTCAAAGTTCGCAAGACAATAGTTGATGTTACATCCTCATCTCAACCGACGCAGGATGGTCCCTTTGTACTGACCACGTCCATCAGGATACGCTTCCATTATTGAGGCATGGACACATGCTGGCAGTTGCACCCTGATGTCCTTCCCGAGCCAGCCCCAACACCATCTCACGACTTTCCTGTACGCCACATACCTGTATTTTCTTTAAAATAAAAAGCAATAAAAAAATTTCATTATTTTTCTTAGGATAGATGATTTGATGTCAAAATATTAATTCTTTATTAATTAATTCAGGAAAATAAAAATGATTAAAAAAAACTAAAATGACCAAGGGTTAGTCATTGTTTGTTGGGCGGTGGGGGGCAACATTCAAAATCGCATATAAAGTTTGTGTTTCATAACTACAGATTATTGGGGGGGGGGGGGGGGGGGGTAACATGCTAAAACTCACAAATCGGTGGTCATTCTTGCCTATTTGTATACATTTCCTGAAAAAGTGCCCCGAAGCACCTGCAGATAAGGCAGCTATACACCAGTGGTCACCAGGCAAGAATTTTGGTCAAAACTAGTAATTCATCGTGCGGTGACTCAATTCGTTTTGAAAAGTTTCACCCAATAAACTTTCAAAATCAATCCATTTATTTTTTTGCCCTTGCCAAAATGATGAAAAGGAGAAACATAACTTACTCATTGTTCCTGTCCCCAAATGCTTTGGCTGCTCGGCGCCACCTATCTGTGTACTCCATCCATCCGATGTACAATGTTGTCGCATTTAGGATGGCCGGCTCAAACTCCTCAGAATCCACCAGACAACTTGAACCCTGTCGATCAGCCTCTGCCTTGACCTCAGCAATTTCCTGACAACAGACACAATCACCTTCATTGAAAGATGGAGGCACACGACATCTTCCACATGTACACCTTGAAATACAGAAAGATTCAAACAAAAATCAATACACCTACTATAATTTTATAAATATTTTATTACAGCTTCCTGATAAATATAAAAATGACATCGTTCTCGTAGTCGTAGTATGGTAAGAGTGCCCAAGGCAGTGCCTATGTCTGCGCACCCACGTAAATGCGCGATATTTATAGAACAAAACATCAAACTGACACCAATTTTCAATCTTAACCTCAACAATTCATCATAGATACCAAAATTTGTGAAAATAATTGGGAAGATTAAAAATGAGTTTTAGCAAGTTTCATTTGCCACCCTGAAAATTTCAATCATTGTCAAAAAAGAAAAGTCTGAACAGGGGGTTGTCCCTGGTATGAAACTTCACTGTGCTTGATTGAATTGCGTGCAAAATAGTGAGTGCGCAGACATGGGCACTTTTCAGTTTTGCTACACAAAATGACGAGCCCGTCTGAAATTCGTTAAAAAAAATTGTTCTTGTGAATAATTTGTCGAGTTTTTTTGTTTCAGTAATCATTAGAATATGAAGAACGGAATAACAATGATGATTCTAAAAATAATATCTTACTGTGTAATGAAATCGAGGTCGAATTTTAGGTGCGCAGACATAGATCTAGAGAATCATTCTAACAAGTTAACTTTAGAATTAGACATGCCATTTATGACCGAGTCTAGAGATCTACGGTATTTGATTTCAATTTTTGGGGGGAATAAATATTTAGAATGCACAACAAATTCAATAAGCTTAATTACCAATCCTCGACATTTTCATGAAGCCGATTTGCGTTGTTGGCCCTTCCAGCATCGCCAACATTTTGCCCAGGTTCACCACGAGGTAAAGGCTCATACTCCCACTCGACGATACGCCCGTGTTCTCCGGCGTCTGCATCACTTGAATCGCTGTCGGTATCACTGCTGCTGCCACTGTCCGGACTGTCACTACTACCACTGACACTGTCATTTTCACCGCTTTCCCCGCAACTGCCATCCTCCTCACACTCAAATTCCATAACTAAATCATCTTGTGCATCTGCCCTGACGACTGGGGTAGCCATTCTCTTTAGAAAGACTTCTCAAAACTTCTCAAACTTCAATCGATAAAAAGCAGAACGGATTCACGGTACGCAAAATCAATGTAGATCTCGAACATCGCGCGGCGAAGAATTATAGCAAACAATTCGAGTCTACACGGAATGACGTCACCCAAGTCCGTGCGGCGCGGGGGCTCTTGACCGAGGCGAATTTGGGAGGGGGCGGCAGTTGTACTGTAATTTTCATTTTTCTCAGTAATGAAAGGGTATTTAATTTTTTCTTTCTTGTATTTGTATTTTGTGTTTCATTAGCCGTCTGTGGATGTATGGTTGTGTACGCTCCGGTCAAGGTCTTTAAATGCATTAATTTATAAATTAAATCGGTGTAGTGCGACAGATAGCTCTACCAAACAGTATCTCTTTGGCTTTACTACATCAGTGCGGATCTATATGCCATATTGATGGCGACGTACCGAAGGACAGGGTAGGGAATCAAACTCCGCGGGTGATCGAGTTAACTCCCTTTCTATCGGATTTCTTTCATGTAAAATCGCTCAAAACGAAATGAAAAAAAAAATAAAAGAAAGAGAGCGAAACCAGGGGAGCAAGGACAAAAGCAAAATTTAGTCTAAAGTTTGGGCAGACATTTTTACCTTGCTATTAATTGGTGAATGGAGAAGATAGAAGTAAGTTGATGACCAAGTTTCATCAAATCATTATGCATGTTTCTTCTTATTTTTCTGTTTCTTTTACTTCTTCTTCTTGACAATTAGTTTCGCTGCGGATTTTTTGCTTTTATTGAAAACGATGAGCTAGTGAAGGTATATATTAAGCATACAAAATAAATGATCAAATTATCATATTTCATCAAACTTTATACAATTATTTGGAAAGTATACTAGACAGTATGACAGCCCAAACAAATCTTATGAAATAGATGAACATAAATCTTCTCTACCCTCGTAAAGACCATTCAGCTCCTACACAAATTTTTACTTCACTTCCTATTGTTCCTGGTAGGCCTTCCCCTTGTGAAAGAATATGTTTGTTATGCTATAAAAATAATAGGCGACGAGTATACTAGCTGGAATTTGATAATATATATGGGGGAAAAGAAATTGTTGATTTAAAAGTATTACCCCTCCACATTTAAACTTAAAGATACTATGTCCCTTTTGCTGCCATCATCAAATTATGTAGGACTTTGCAGGAATTATTAATCATGTATGTCCTACCTGTGAAATTTAAACGTTAGCAGTGTCCCAATCATGGGCGTAAATCCTTACGTAATACCTATTGTTCAGGGGGATGATCTATTCATTCATCCTCCCTGAACAATAGGTATTACGTAAGGATTTACGCCCATGGTCCCAATATTCGAATTATGCAAGGAAACCTGTTGACTTGCTATACTTTACTGTCAGACACTATTTAGTGACTGACTAGCTTTTTTCTTCTTTGGTAAAAATATACATAAAATAAGCTGTAAAGGGTATATATAAGCATTTGTCTACATCAATAACCCACTTCTTGAAAACTGATTGAATCTTTGCGCAGCACAAAACGTACGACCTTTCGGTACCGACTCGGTAGCACTAATAGTCGTTATTTTCCCATTTGTAGACATTTTCAAGCCCCCCCCCCTCCCTTTTTTTTGGGGGGGGGGGGTGTTCTAAATTAGTATTATCTTTCAAATGCCGTTGGAATTTAACCTTTTCATTTTTTGGGCTGCAAGTGGGACATAGTATACCATGCTAATGCTAATATAAGGGGTAAAAAAATCATAAATTTGTCCAAATTCATACTTTATGTTTCAATAAATATATAAATTCATTTCCCCATGTATCATTTTTTGAACTCCTTTATTGATTCATCTTTTTGTTGGTATTGTTATGTGCTGATGGAGAAATATGTTATAATACTGTTCACATACTTGTTAAATGACAATTGCTGTGTTCCTGATGGCCTCTTGTTATCGAAAGTTTTTTAACAAAGAAATAAACTTGAAACTTGAAGAAAAAACTTGCTTCAATCATGATAATAACATAATTAAGATGATTACAAAAACAGTTTTGCAATTAAAGCCCGTCTGTTACAGTTTGGCCAAGAGGATTAGACCTCCATGCAAGGTCACAGGCAGGTGGTTATCTCATCAAATCAGCTCTCAATTAACATAAGAAAGAAACAATCATGGGGGACCAACCGGCACCGATTAGGCATTGTTTGCTATAAAGAGGGCGCAAGTGCAGTGGGGCTATTTAACAAGAAAATGGAAATCCTCATTAGGTCGATCCCCCTCCCACCTGCTCTGGCTGCTAACGTACGCTGCTCCTCTTTTATGCTTTTTCTCCTCCTTGGCCTAGCTCACCATCACCATCATCATCATCATCATCGTCTCCGTCACCGTCATCACCATCATCATCATAATCATCATTATCGTCATCATCATCATCATTACCATCACCATCATCATATCATCATCATATCATCATTATCATATCATCATCATTATCAGCATTATCATCATCATCATCATTATCGTCATCATCATCATCATCACCATCATCATCATCATCATCACCATCATCATCATCATCATCATCATCATTATCGTCATCATGCATCATCATTACCATCACCATCATCATATCATCATCATATCATCATTATCATATCATCATCATATCATCATCATTATCAGCATTATCATCATCATCATCATTATCGTCATCATCATCATCATCATCACCATCATCATCATCATCATCACCATCATCATCATCATCATCATCATCATCATCATTATCGTCATCATCATCATCATTACCATCACCATCATCATATCATCATCATCATCATCATCACCATCATCATCATCATCATCACCATCACCATCATCATCATCATCATCATTATCATCATAATCATTATCGTCCTCTCCATGTTTTACCTTCAATCACAAGAAGAATAACAACAACAGCAATAACAAAAACAACAAAATAACATCAACAGTAGAACAGCAATAAATCTTTACACCCACTGTTTTGGGGGCGAATTAATGTCTCTTTAGAATTTAACATTGGCCGAAATGTAAAGAGCCAACCCATTGCAAGTGATAACGATCGAGGGTACTTGTGTGTGGGGGTGTGTGCATTTTCCGCTACATGTGTGGCTCGCGGCAAGCCATTCATTCGCGAGTGTACTTTGCGCGTGCACAATTACACACAAGATTTATTATACACACTTTTATAACCGCTTATCATCAACTGTAAAAGTGGGGGTCAAAGCGGAACCTAAACAAATTTGTTAGTCAACAATTCTTTTGCCAAAACGTCAGTCCGAGGAGATTTACGGATTGATTTTCTTCAGCTTTTTCAGGGAGGAAAAAGGAAGGATTATCAATTCACCTTCCAATGCCGCGTATGCCGTCATTTTTCCTGATGGGTTTTCGAACGGTCATTTTGATCGTGTCCAAGATATGGGAGTTTTTCTGTTATCAGATCCGGAAAAACACACGGAAGGTACTATCATTATCTCGTTCATCCTTTTTCATGTTTGTTTTGGATGGGAGTCTAACGTTACTCTGCACGTAATACGTGCAGCATTTGACATGTTTGAATATTTTTGTTAACTTTACTTCTTCAGCATGTTTTTCTTTTCTTTTGAGTTTTGGCTTTGCTTACTTGGTAATGGTAGTCGGTGTTGCATGTTTATTTTGAATTCAAATTAAATTTAAAAAGTTAAAAAGAGTGGAAATTTGAATGTAAAAATTCTCAAAAAATGTGTGATGTAGAGGGCGCTGGTCTAAGAATAAGGACTGTCCGCAGAAACGAGGAAATCCTCATAAACTAAACTGGGACAAAATGCGTCCTAAAAAATAAGGATCGTCCACATTTTTGCAGACGTTTTTTTCTTCTGCGGTTTCAGGTTCCCAAACTGCGCGCTGGCAATGCGAAAAGCAGATTCCGCGTAAATACAACCAGTTCACCGTCTACCTTTATGGATTGTCCATCTTCCCGAGGATTTATTGCAGTAGTGTACTTTTGTATCGATTTTTTTACCCGTAAGTAACTCCGGCGTGGAGATACCCTACTAAAACATACCAAAAAATCAACTTAATCTTGATTAACGCAAGCCTGTGTGAAGTTATCAACTGTATTAATCAACTTCACGCATGCTTGCACGCCCGCACCCTGGCCCTTCGTCGATGCGGTACGGTATGCGATTGTATTGTAATTGTGCAGTGGTTTACCGTGTAACCTGTCAGAAAAAGATTATTATTAAGTCTTCGTTTTTAGGAAAAATACTCCCCAAAAGATGTAGCGAGTTTATATCATGACCACTATTTGAACAATTGATGAAGATTAAGTTGATTTTTGGTATGTTTTAGTAGGGTATCTCCACACCGGAGTTACAGGGTCAAAAATGGATACAAAGTACACTAGCGCAGGATTTATCGCTCGTAATGTGAAAGTCTCTGTACAAAGTCAATGTAAAATGCATCAAGAAAATCATCGCCCGTATTTGACATCGCCACTTGGGGGTCGGGAATCAGAATTGTCAGCAAAAATGTGGCAATCCTTATTTTTTCGAGCGCGTATGTCCGCGTTTACGAAGACGATCCTCGTTTATGCGGACGATCCTTATTCTCGGACCAGCGCCCCTACAGTATACTGGTAGAATTTTGTATTTATGAAAAGTATGAGTATGATACAGACTAAACCAAAAATGTATGTCTCTTTCGTTTGTTAACCTCTTATTTGGGTAGGGTTGGCTCCTTTCTTTAGAGACAGAAGCCGACCATAGGGTCTGCTCTGGAAACTTTGGTGGAACAATTTTGCCACCAAACTTTCGACTAAAATATCATTTTAGAAGATTCATATCCAATGCATTTATTCCTGAAAATTAGGCCTAGGCTAATATACTTTGGTCGAACAAACCATATTGACTGTATGATGCATTTAAGTGTCTTTTTTCCGGGTTTCTACTTCGAAATTGAACCTCGTGTTGAAATTCTTGCAGCCGTATTTTAAACTGTTACTGTCAATGGATGATGTCATCTTCCTTCATGCGATTTGCTTACCTTCCACCGTTCTACATGTTCCTGATTATGCGCTAACCTGCGTTTTACTTAACAAAAACACTGACCTCTCACGAGAGTAGAAAGGAAAATTATACAGGTTGTGAAACATAAATTGTCTGTTTTGGGGTCGCCAACTTGATGCTTACTTTACGGTAATAATAGTTTGTAAAGGCGCATGCGTAGGGAGTTTGTTAATTCAACAAACTCCATGCATGCACCTTAGTACACTTAACTAATCGCTATTATCGTTACTAACTTACTATCGTAAAGTCGATTGAACCTTGCTAATGAAACAAGGTGGCCTTTTTTGGTCACTTCCTGCAAAAATAAGAAACACAGTTCAAGGGGAGAAAATTGAATTTTATAGACAGTGTCTTTCTATGCAGTTGATTGTGAAAGCAGGTTTGACAATATTTTCAATAAAAAGAATCTCTCTAAAAAGAAGAGAATTCTTGGTATTCTGTTATAGTAAAGTTCTTTTTTTTATAATTTTTATGATATTCAAGTGTGCTCATGATTTCTAAAATGGTGCAGTGTGACTCATTCCTGCAGAACCAATTTTGGATTACAAACAAATACATTGTAAGAGCTTTTCAGTCACTCACATTTATATTAAGACTAATATCTGTAATGCTATCCGTCATGTGATTTATTAAAAGAAATGAATGTCATTTTCAGATGTGATGACTGAGCATTACAGTATGTTCCCAAAGTTCATTAAGGTGGTTAATGTTTGTACGAGTGTGTGTGTGTGTATTTAATCAAACAAACTTTTAAGGACTGATTCTGCATTCTGTACTTGGCTTACTGTATGTGTATGTTGGAGATAATATGGTTGTATTTAACCCTAAAGTTGGAGCTGCCTTACATTATAATCCAAGATGGCGGCCCGCATGTTTTGCCTCTTCTCTTAGACCAATATTATTAATTTCAAAGTCATGAAAAGGCACGAAACATCAACAAACATGGTCTACAACAACTCCAAATGACAAAATAATCCCAGCTATTAATTTTTTTTGAGCACTTGATAGCACAAAACTTGAAAATTTTCGGAATTTAAAAAAAAAAAGTCTGCCAATTTTTTTTCTGATCATTTTTTTTGATTGGCGATCAGAAATTATTATCCGATCACACCTGATCGGCTTAAGATCGGTTTCCGATCTGATCATAGGTTACAGGCCTACAATGTAGTTGTATTACCGGTAATTGTTTTGTTAGAGAATGATTTATGCTTCATGTGATCTGTTAAATTCTGAACTTTGCTCACTTTATTCTGTGCTGTGCAGAACTGCAGATTCCCGCATGTTGATTCAATCTAATCAATCATTTCATGTGTCAATCAATGTTACTTATCTGGAGGTGTAAGTCCATACTCTCAATGTTTAAGTTTGTCAATTTGTTTATGTTCACTGTACAATAGTTCAGGGAAAAAATTACTTTAAAAATTTGGGGGGCTACTTTTCAAGCTTGCTTGCATGAAAATAACACTCTTTAATTTGTTTTGCATTGAACTCTATGCAAAATTTGGGGCTCTTTTAAGACTTTCAGGGACTCTTTTGGGCATTTCGGGGGCTAATTCGCCCCGAGACCCCGTGTATTTTTTCCCCTTAAGTTCACAGTTAAAGACCCTTTCCGATGAAAAAACAACTTTAATTAATGGAAACGTGAATGAACATAGAAAATAGAAAGGAATACAAAATATTTTCCTTTTCAGTATTGCACAACAGCAAATTGAAAGCTCATTTTACTGATTTTAGTTTCACTGTGTGACATGTGATTGTGATATAATTTGCTGTTTATAGAGGCTGCATATTTTTTAATGTGCTGCAGTGACAACAGAAGGCCTACTGTACATGTACGTAACTACTGACAAACTTGATTTTATGTATTTAGTATATGGACAAAAAAAGGAAATTGTAAAGAATTTTTGGAGCACATGATTTTGATTCTGTTACTGAATTAGTCATATTTCTATCATGATCATCACATTTACGGGGAATGTGTGATTGTGAGACTGAATTGCATACAGCCCAGACAAAGCCACGGCTACGTATACGACAGCCAACTAAATCCACTTAATCTCTGCCCTTGCGCTGTTGCCAAGTTCTTTATTTTGGGTAGTGAAAATGAGGAGAAATAATTTCACATTTCCGCTCATCATCAGATCTAATTATGACCCTCTTCTTGCCTGCATTTCACAACTTCTGAATCTTGAGACTGAGTGAAAGTGCTTACAGTCTAAAATAATAGTGGAAATGGTTGACTTTGTGTCAATAACTTGTCAATAACTACTTTGATTTGATTATAAACATAAATGTACTTGTGCAGTGAAACCTGATTATAAGGGTCGGCAGAAAAACAGTCTTTGTAGAAAGGTGGTGTGTACATTTATGTACAGATCCTCATTGAGCACATGCGTCAATGAGAAAAGGTGATCAAGTCTAGGGAAACAGAAAATGTGGTCTCTATAGGCAGGTGGTCTTTTTATACAGGTTTCACTTTACCACGTTTCAACTTGTCAAAAGTGGGCTGCTACATGTACATGTACATGTACATTGTACATTACATACACATTGTGATAATCAGCGATCAAATTATATTTCAACCCCTTGCCACTGTGAATAAAGCTGGAGTGCTCAATTCTGCTCATGATACCGCCATGTTTATTCAGGGATAAATAACAATGAGTAAACAAATACAAAGGGACAAGATTCTCTCAGCCTTTTGAACTTCACTGTAGATTTATGATTAATGGTAAATACTCTCTTGATGTGTACTGTCCATGGTAGAGGGTGGGTGGGGGGGGGGGGTAGAAGACAGCGTGTGCCAATTGTTGTTGCTTTTCTGGATCCGCATTCTTGTTGTGTAGCATTTTTGTTCACCTGCATCATTTTCAGGGAATAAATTTCAGTTTCGATATTGTGGACAATACAGCTTTGGTATAGATTTACACGGTCCATGCACATTCCCAGGTACATGTATTAAGGCGAGCAAACACTTCCTTCTTGGCTTAATTAATCCAAGTTATTGTATTATGTTAACATTGCAAGAAGTCCTGTTTAAAGATAAAGTTGAGTTCTGATCATGCAATTGCATTGTGAAAGAAACGTTGTGGAATCGATCAGGAAAGGTTGATCATCTAGCATCTAACATCTGCAAGGTTCTGGAATCATCAAAATGATAAGAAATTTGGATTATTCTTCTTAATTTAACAAGCACTATACACAGAAAGTTGTATATGGGACTACCCTATATCTCTCACAGACCATGAGAGAAACAAATTTACCAAATATATGAATTAGTAGGCGGTTTCCCGGCAAATTTGTTATCATCATGTATTAGTCAAAACATATTCTTTCACATGATTGGTAATGAGAGCTTCCATTTCATTTTTTTAAATTGGGGCGTTTCCAATACTGGTCTTTACCTTTAATGATTGATTTATACCAGGCTTAAATATTATTGAAAGTATGTTTTTGTTTGATTTCAAGTCAATTGTACATGTAAGTGTAAGCTCCAATAGGGCTATTAATTATCAAGTACCAGTGTGCTATTTGTATGAACCAACTAAAATTAAATAAGTTATGAAGTTGATGTACTCTACAATGTAAGTGTAGCTGGTAATATGTAGGGCCAAATACTGCACTTGCCCTCTTATGAATTTGTGTTTACCTAATTTTTTTTTCTCCATTATATTTAATAATCTCTTAATACACTGTACATGGTATCCATGTTGTTGCCCCCATAATCTTCCAAGTTATCCTCTTAAGGACATTTTCTAATATTTGAAGAAAGCCTCCTGATGATGACTGAAAACGATATAAAGGTTGTCACTGTACTTTTAAATCTATTAAAAATGTGTAAATAAACACTTGTTATTATACCTGTTCATAATTCCTTCAACTTGCTTGCTTTTTTTTTCTGCAGGTATTCGAGTATCAGACGATTCGATATGACACAGCTCCTCTTTCACCACTTTCCAGTCACAAACTTTGTAAGTTATCTTCATTTCATTTCAAATGAATTGTAGGCATAGGCCAGTGTGTATAAAACGGGTGGGGAGGGGGGGGGTGGGATAGTGAAAATTAAAAATAACAATGGGCAGTGAAGTGCCTTAATAACCACACATTCAGTCACTGAAGTGCATGAATGATGTATTCAGATAGCAAATGCCCAAATAACTTCATATTCAAGCAGCTGAGGGGGGGGGGGGGGAGGATGAAAATTATAATCTGGCAGCGAGGTGTCCAAATAGTATTGTATTTGGGCAGTAAGATACCCAAATACATGTTGATGTTTGATGACAAAATAACATTGAAATACCTTAAACAAGTTTTCTCATTTGTTTAGTACATGTAAGTAATGCAATTCTATAGCATAGCAAGTCCTATGGGCCAGCCTGGTTATTAAGAAACCACTCAGTCAGTGTCTTACTGTCTTTACACTATGAATATGACTGACAAAGAAAGCAGACAAAATATACAGTTCCTCAGGTAGACAAAGGAACATCCCTTCACTGCTATTATGTACATGTACAAATGTGTAGAACAGGTGTCACATGCATATTCACCATTTTACATAATATCAGTGAAGGGATGTTCCTTTGTCTACCTGAGGAACTGTATATTTTGTCCGCTTTCTTTGTTCGTCATATTCATAGTGTTAATAAGGCAGTGTGATTGAAAGTGAATTGATTGGGCAAAGGGCCTTTTCCCTACACATCTCGTTAGAGAGCCCACCAAGGGCATTGCACTATTAGCACATTGCCCATGGGATTCAGAGCAAGAAAGGTGTTAACTCTAAATTGCTTAAGTATCGCATTTAAGCAGTTATTTTTTGCTGGGGGGGGGGGGGTATTTTTACGAATTTTGTGAATCACTCATTGATCATGAATTTCAACAAAACACTCTGGAGAGTTTTTTTTTTTTTTTTTTTCTGGAAAAGTTGATGATAGTGCTACAGTGCTACATGTACATGTACATTGTATATTGGAAATACAGGGGCAATCTTGTTTACATGTATACATGTACATGTACAGTATGCCCTGTAATGTACATTTAGTTTGACATATAAATAATACATGCAGATTCATACAAAAAAATTGAATGCTTTTACAAGTGATATTTGATCAAACTAATGGTGTACTACAATCCACAGTGTTACTTGATCAAAGATGCCTAAATACAAAATAAACCATACTCATCAAATTTAAACATATTGTCCTTCGGTCCTTTGCATCAGTGACACGCTGAGGGATGTGTAAAATAACAGGGTTGTAATCAAACGATGTACCGTCCCGCTGGGGTTTGATAAACCCCGGGGATCGGAGAGAAACCATTGATTATTCTGGATCAATCGCACAAGTGCATCAGGCTCGGGCAAATATTGTCAGCTGTAATCTGAGAAACTGTCCTGTACAGGTGTACAGCGCACATATCTCTATTTCGCCGCCTTGCCGTCCCTTCTCATTCTCATAATAGTGATGGACTATCCTACTGTACAGTACATGTACAGTGTACATGGGCATGGCTCCGATCAAGGGCATGTTTTGTCCCCTCTTTTGGTATTAATTCAAGATCAAATACATCTTTAAATATAACCAAATAAGAGTTGGTTACATTCAAAGGAAATAAAGGAATTTTAGCTTTGGTATGACTATGACATGTCACAAAATGGAAGCTCCGTTATTTTTTCATGTGAGCCACTTAATGATGTTTTAGGCCTGTCTTCATTTTTGTTTAATCAATATTCATATAACCATGTTGAAGAAAAACATCTCAAATTTTAATGATGACTTTAGTGACCTGTAAACCTATATGAAGTCATTCTTTCTACCTGCACCCCCCCCCCCCCCAAAAAAAAAATTCTACTTTTTTTTGCAATTTAGGGGCTCATAAATAAAGACCCTTGTTACTGTCAAGCCATGCATGTACATGTACATCGACACTGTAAACAATTATACATGTATTTGTATTTGTATTTGTCTTGTACATTGTACATGTATTTGTACATACATTCTGGCCTGCTTCAAAGGATGATACAAGATAATTGCCTTGAACAGGAAACCACTGCATAGGGCGATGCGTTCAATGACATACATGTACAGCGAAACAAACTGCAAGCCGTCCGATTCTGCAAGGATATTGTGAAACTTCCCCCTTAATTGGATGAGAGAGAAACCGTGTCTAGCCAAGGTCTAGCCATGTCATTTGTGTATCAGGATATCCATGTGGATTATTGTACTTACACCTGTAGTGGATTTAGAGAATGGAGATCTTCTTTTTTTTCTAGGTCATTATCTTGACTGTTTGTTTTGTTTGCAATGTAAAATCAGTGTCTTTAAACTCCTTGTCATTATTTTTGTTAAGTAATTATGATGATGATGGTGATGTATATTTCATATGTACATTGTAGGTTTATTTGTATTTTTTTGTTTGGTTTAATATGTAATTGTTTATCATTGTATTTTGTTTGTTGAAGCCCATAGAGACTTGGTATGGGTATTTTCAGTTGTTAACTGTTTAAATATTTTATATTTTGTTGAGTGTGTGCAGTTATCATCCAAAATTGTACATGTACGTACATGTACACAGGCATATTTTTTTAATGTATCCACATACATGTAGGTACATGTACATGTAAAACTGAAATTCTGAAAATTGTACCTTATACAAACCTGTTTACCAATTAACAGTACATCGCAAGTCAATTCAGTGTGAGGGCCTATGCGTACAGTGTACATGCTAGATTTTACTGCATCATTCTAATTTCTACCGAGCACAGCTCACTTCAAATGATTGAAATATCTGTCATTGCACAGACTGCTTCTGTTAATGCGTTTGACCTGCCGACTCACCGTCTGTAGATCCAGTAATTAATAAGCCATCCATTCTGATATAATCACGTGCACTACTTACAGTGTACTACATGTACAGTAGTTAAAGGGAAAGTCCACCATGCTATTAAGGATAAAGTTGAGTTCTGGTCATGCGATTGCATTGTGAAAAAAACGTTGTGGAACCGATCAGAAAAGGTTGATGATCTAGCATATAGTATTGGTGTGTACTGCAAGGTTCTGGAATCATCAAAATAATAAGAAATTTGGCCCAGCCTTGGTAAAGTTATAAGCACTGTACACAGAAAGATGTACTGTATATGGGACTACGTGATACGTGGGCGATATATCTATCAGGTCTAAATACTGTAGATATACTAATTTACCAAATATATCAATTAGTAGGCGGCTTCTCGGCAAAATTGTATCATCACGTATTAGTCTAAACATATTCTTTCACATGAATGGTGATGAGAGGGGGGCGTTTCCAAAACTGGTCTTTACCTTTAAGTTGGTTTTAACAGAAGAAGGAAATGAGAGAAACAGGCCAGTGAAAGTTGGAGCAAAAGCCGATTAAAATATAAGAATGTTGTACATATTGGAGGGTGCACAATCAATCGAACACAATATGGCAACTCTGTGAAGTATCTTGTAAAGGTCCCCTCCCATTTTTCCTGTACTACAGTAATAGACTTCAAAATTCTATATTTTCCCTTTAAAAAAACGTAGACTTCCCCTTTAAAGGTACTATGTCCCATTTGCAGGCCAAAAAAATGAAAAGGTTAAATTCCAACAGCATTTGAAAGATAATACTAATTCGGAACTTCCCTTAAAAAAAGAGGACTTGAAAATGTATTTAAGTGGGAAAATAACGACTATTAGTTGTCGAATAATTACTGACTTTCACATTATAATGGACAATATTCCTTGCTGTAAAAACTGCCATCGTTAAAATATATTATGTGAATTGCACTTTTGGGGGCGAATCACTTTTCTTTAATTTCCAGACAGTCAACCTTATGGATTCATCACTGTGTACTTAACCATCCCACTATATTGACTTTGCTCCATTTTCAACAGCATCTGTACTCAAGGCTGATACCAGTGTATAAATGGTAAATGAGACTAAATGGGATAGAAGATTATGTGGGAGTGCGTTGCCAATTTGTTGACATGCCAATACAGGTTATCGACCTTTCGATAGGAAACACAAGGTTTCTTGTGCATTCCAGACACACTGAGGACATCCTTACCAATCCCATCCTTCAAGTGATACGCCCTTCCATTGATTTCTTGTATTTCTTCCAGGAGGTATTAGAACTTGAGCAAATCAGTTACATGTATGTTGGATCACAAAACATTTATTTCTCTCTTTTGCTGCTCATGTACAGTGTACACAACGTGAATGTTTTGGCAAGTTACATAATTTAGAAGTCGGTATAGGGACCCCCCCCCCCCCCCCCCAAGTGATACGCCCTTCCATTGATTTCTTGTATTTCTTCCAGGAGGTATTAGAACTTGAGCAAATCAGTCATGTTGGATCACAAAACATTTATTTCTCTCTTTTGCTGCTCATGTACACAACGTGAATGTTTTGGCAAGTTACATAATTTAGAAGTTGGTATAGGGACCCCCCCCCCCCCCTTTGAGCCCTACTTTCTTTATATTACAATGTCCAATGTACAGGATTCTGGTATCAGGCAGATTTTGGGTGAGGGAAGTGCCCCTTTGACAGCCCCTCCATATTACATGATCCTGGTGTCAAAAAGGCAGATATTTGCCATGGTGAGGGGGAGGGGGGAGTACATGTAGGAATTACCCCTGTTGTCCCCTACCTCCCCCATATTCCATACATGGTCATGTTGTTATGGTATCAAGAAGGCAGATTTTGGCCAAAAGGAGTGCCCCCTTTTATCTCTTTGCCCCTATCTGCCACAGGGGCCTAATCCTGACAAATCCACTTCAGTAGCCTTGCATGTAACATAAATACATTAGACCTGTTTCCATTAGCTCAAGATTGCCAAATAACCCGCTATTGGAACTCTCCCGATCGCAAATTTTCCTGCTAAATTGCATCTTCATCAGCCCGCAGTTTCAATTAGCGGGATATTTGGTCGAGATGATTATCCCAAGATATCTTGGGCTAGTTTGCAAAATATCCCACTATTTGTCCGGTGCGTCCTCACCAGCCCGAAGACTCGTACTATGCGCGAACGCTGAGCAAAATATCTCGAGCTCGAGTTTCAAGTTTTAAGGTTAAGTCTCGAGCTGATGAGGACGCGATTTGTCACTTCAAGATTATTTCCCAAATCAGAAATAGCAGGCTATTTGGCAATCTTGAGCTGATGAGGACAGGCCTCATGAAACATAAATACATTGGCATGAGCAAAGCCTCGAGGTCAAGTTATAATAATGCACTTGATTGGGGCTTTGAAGGACATCATGAGGTTTCTGAAAATAAACAGATTATAAATGTACAGTATATAGGACAGTACTAAATAAAGTTGCATGTCCTGTGTACTTCCTTGTTTCATGGTACTGATGTAAGGCCAAGTATTGTATAAAAATAAACCTGTTTTGCGACTGGATTCTTTTTTTTTAAAGGAGGAAGCAGACTTTTTATTTTTTATTTTTTAAGACGGCTGCCATTAGAGATTTCCGGCAATCCCTTGTGAGTTTGCTATGAATGAAATGTAACAAATTATGTTGGTGTTGAGCCCCGCATTGATGTTTGTGTACTTTCGTCCATAAAGCCTGCTTTATGGTACATGTACTAATTCAGTTGTAACGTTCTTGCCTTGTCCAATACCGGAGACTTTATACTTTTGCACAATTTACAAAAAAATGAAAGTGGTTATGATATATACAGTCAAACCTGTTTATTGAGGCCATCCCGAGGGAAACAGAGAATGTGGCCAATGTAGACAGACCTGTGACTTTCTAGACAGGTTCTACGACACACATTTCTCTCTCACAGGAGACAAAATGCATGGCTTCTATGTACCAGGCCTGATAATTACCCGATTTAAAGCGGTTTCCAAATTATTTTATTTTCTTCCTGATTTTTTTTTGTTCTTCCCCCGTTTATCCCTATTTTCCTGATTTTTCCCTTATTTTCCCTATTCTTCCCTATTTTTCCTGATTTTTTCCCAATTTTCATACTCAAAGGGGGGGGGGGGATGTTGTTAGATGCCATTTTTTTTCTTCTCTGAATCCTCTTCTTTTTTTTTTACTCAAGGCGTGCATGGTTGAGGGGGGGGGGAATTTTTTTTTTTAGTGCTCATTTTCACCCCTGTTCTATACACAGATGTACATGTATATATTTTCTAATACAATATATCCAGGGGGCATTTCACACTGAATTTGTTGATTTTGCTGTGACTCATACAATTTTTGTGAGATAATTAACTAGATTCCATCACAAAATTGTCCTTAATGAAATTGTCTTTGGAGGTCACAGAGGCAATTTAGTGGTTTTCCGGTAAAGAGAATTTTTAATCATGTTGTGTGCAGTGAGCTACATGATAATTTGTATTATTTGGAAAAGGTTTTATAACATACCCCTGTACTAGTAGTACATGGGCATAATTGTATACATACATGTACATGTACAAAAATTATACATTGGTTTATTTGCTGGTTCCTTTTTTTTCATACCATGAATACTGCCTCAAAGACAGTAAGTAAGTAATTGATCTTTACTTCATTCATCATAAAAAAACATTATAAAAGAGTTAAAGGAAAAAATTACCAATAGAATACAACAACTACAAATATGTCATATCATATGAATGCAGAGACAGCTAGGAAGTTAGACAGTGTTCAGTTCATTCGGAATTGATAAGGTTGTGTAAAAGTAGGATTTCCCTGTTGGGATTTGTTACCGTATGTGTTTTATTGTTCTTTTTCCTCTGGAGCTCTCGTTGACTTTCCAGAGCTTTTTTAGAGTTTTCCCCAAGATTAATCACTCACCTCTTCTTTCATTTTTGTTTTTACATTGTCTCCAGCCAAAATAATACACAGGGAATTAATGAAAAAGTAGCCCCAGAAAAATGAGCCCCCGAAAGAGGAGCAAGTAGCTCAAAAAAAATTCACAAAAAATTGAAATGGAGCCCCCGAAATGATTTTTTTTTCCCTGATTGTCTCACATACATGTACAGTGTAGTTGTAATGATTAGTTTTAAACATTCCAAAATCTAAAATTGAAAGCAAAAATTACTCTCTCTCTCTCTCTCTGTCTTCTCCTTACAACATTTAGTGAAGGGGAAATCTTAGTATTTGACCTTGGCCCTGTCTTATAAAGAATGTGATTGGTCCGCATCAAAAGTCAAAGGTCAAAGCTCATTAAGTTTGCCAAAATACCTAATTATATATGCCAAAATGTGGTTTCATACAATAACGTACAGTAAGTAATGTTGTTGAGTATTTACGTCAACGTTCACAGCTCATGAAATATGAAAAAATTGCTAATTAAAAATGGCTAATTATGTACATGAGAAATAGCTACAGAAATTATGCATGCAAATTTGTGGTTTCTGTTTGATAACTTAAGTAATGTTGGGTGGATTTTGATTAAATTTCTGACGTTTAGGCCATTTGTACCCGGCGAGGGGATGCTACGCTTTTCATTGACTTGTTATCATTATTGTCTTATGGCTTCAGAGTTCAGATGTTAACATTTCAATTTGTTCTTAATTCTGTGTCTCTCTTTTTCTTCCCACAGCGTTAGTGAAGAGAAAAATCTTAGTGCTAGACCTGGACGAAACATTGGTGCACTCCAAGCATGTCAGCTCAACATTTTTACCAAATAGACCAAGTATACCTCCAGATTTTGTGCTTAAGGTAAGCATTCTGAATACTTAATTTCTAAAAAGTTTGTTTGGGTTAATTGTAGAATTTAGCGAGGCATTCCAAACAACACGCTGAAGTATTTTCTTTGATATCAGGATGTCCAAGCATTTTGAAAAGAAAAAAAAATACCTCAATTTTTTTCATAATTATTATTACTGTCACATACTGCACATGTACACGTGGAACATGAAACAGGAGTACTGTGCATGTACAATTAATAAAACCATTACTGTTAGTACTTATATATTTATATTTGTATCTTTTTTTTTTGGGGGGGGGGGCGGGATGGGATATGACAGTCCCATTTTCTTTCTTCATTAACCAAATTACTGTACCATGACCTGCACCATTAGTTACATGTATCATGATTGTTAGTCTAATATTCTATATTTTCATATAGTCTATTAAACAAAATGCTTCTTTGGGAAGATTATTCAGCCAGGGATACATGTTCAGGTTGTATCTTAAAATTGTTCTAATTGCTGTGCTACTTTCGCCAAGCAAAAATCACTACTGTGTAGATCTGTATGTATGTACTGTACCTCTATCATCAACACAATGTGTTGATATGCAAAGGGATGACATTAGGCCTGTCCTCATCAGCTCGAGATTGCCAAATAACCCGCTATTTTAACTATCCCGATCGCAAATTATCCAGCTAAATTGCATCTGCATCAGCCCGCAGTTCCAATTAGCAGGATGTTTGGTCGAGATATCTTGGGCTAGTTTGCAAAATACCCCGCTATTTGTCCATTGCGTCCTCACCAGCCTACTATGCGCGAATGCTGAGCAAAATATCTTGAGCTGATGAAGACAGGATTTGTAACTTCGGGCTTATTTCTCAAATCAAAAATAGCGAGCTATTTGGCAATCTCGAGCTGATGAAGACATACCTAATGAGATCAGTTTAGAAGACATGAGCTTTAGTTGGGTTAGGATTACATGGGAAAATGATTCGGGCTACCCTGGGGATAAATCCCGCTCTTGCAAACAGTAATTACAGTTTATGAGATGTACATGTAACTGTGTAAGGGTGCTATTTCTCACAAGTAAGTATACATGACACATTATACAACCCACATTTTAGCAATGGGAAGTGGATGTACAATGTTTGCAATATAATTATTGTTGAGCAATTCTATTTAATTACTGAGTGGGTTGTCAATTGATCTCCTGTTGTCAAGGTCATGACACCATCCGATGTGCCATACCAAGGAGATATCCCAATAATTATTTACATCTACAGGTGTATTTATCTATTCAGTGATGGAGACCACTAGTTTTATTAGGGCCTTGCTCAATTAAGAAAATATATGTATAGTACTATAGTTACTATCAGCAAGTGTACATGTATATGTACAGGGGTACATGTTTATATGTCAGGAATGCCAGCTTTCAGGCAAAAGCCTCAATTCAGGCCCTAGCGATTTATTTTCAGGCTATAGTTTAGGCTTTTTTGTGTACAAAATAACTCATTCTACAGTGTAGCTGATTTTCAGGCACTCGGATCGTTGCTAACTGTCATCCATGATATACATGTTTTTAATGTGCATGAAGTCCTTCCAACAGTAGTACTTCCAACAGTAGTACTTCATAGCTAATTGAAAATATCATACAGTTGTGTACGGTAGAATTGGGAGTTAAGCTGCGTAGCATGGGTATATTGTATGCAGCATTTTGCCTTTTGTATCGATATGTAGCCTAAGGTGTCTTTCAGAGCCAGCTGATGATGATGATGAATGCACGTCGTCTACCCAACCCTACACGAACCTGACATTTAGCTCTGGTTACAATAGAACTGCTTCAATACCTCCCCTCTTCTGGCAAACTCCCCCCCCCCCCCCCCCTGTTATTCAATTTAATCTATTGCTTCATTGGTTATAATAATGCCATTTCTTCCGTTACTCCCCCTTCCCCTCCCCCTCCCCCATTCTATCCCTCACTACTAGTACTAGTAACTACATGTACTTTCCCCTCTCTTTCTCATATTCTCCTATTCCTTACATAATAGACCTCACACAGCTTCAATTGCACCCCCCCCCCCACCGCCGTCGCCTTTCAGCAGGTACAGCAAATCCACTGCTTTAACCCCCCTCCCCCCCCCCCCCCCCCCACCACCACCATACCCCAGCCCTCTAATGGTTACAGTACATATAAACTCAATGCTTAATAACCCCCCCCCCCCCCACCACCTCTTCACTGGACCCAGTGCTTCATCAACCCCTCCCCCATTCTCTCCACTGTAAAATAGACCCACTTCATGAATCCTTTATGCTCTCCACCCTCTACCCCCCCCCCCCCCCCCCCCCCTCTCCTATCGCATCTGCTCCCCTTCACCTTTTCAATCCTGGCATTTAACACATACAGTGTATTTAATTTACTAGTGTCTCCAAGTAATGTAACTGAAACCATTGGAGATGTGATGTTCAGGCGTGACTGACCACTTCTCTTATTATCATCATTCATGAAATGCACCTTTCATTTTCATTTTCTTCCAGGTTTAACCTGCCTTGTGCATTAAGATCACTCTCAAATTACACTTCTTTGACAGCACTGATAGAATTACTTGAAAATAGTAACATGTTCATTTTGGCAAGAATAAAGAGCCCTTCTCTTAATAATTCATGTAATGACAAGATACTCATGAATGGATAGAAGGCCAGAAAATGCATTCTTGGAACCTCAAATTTATAATAGCAATAAAATACATTTAGTGATCAGAAAGACTTTTGAAGGATTGCAGGTGACTTAAAAGTAGTGCTGTAACATCACGGATATCTCCAATTCCGTTTAACCGCCAGTCAAAACCGGACGGTTTTCGGTTAAACGATTTTTTAAAAAAATATTTAAAAAAAAACGTTTTTTTTTTTTTTTTTTTTTTTTTTTTTTTTGTGGCAGACTCTTTCGTCAGCAAGCCAGGTCCGTGTGAAACAGCGGGAAGGACTTTCATTTGTGCTTGTGAACTAGTCACAAAGAATAGTAACAATGTCGTTTTTAGAAGAATGTGTGAGATCATTAATGTAAATTAAAAACAGTAGAGGACCTAGGATAGAACCTTGTGGAACACCATGTGAACAAATTGGATGAATTATTATTATAAACTACATATTTCAAACCAAGATGACAGACAAATTGGAGTGTTGTTCTATTTTCTGAGTGGTGAGTCATCACACCGATTACTGAGCTGGGAAACATTGCCAAGCATAGTGCCATGTGGAGGGGCATAAATCGAAACTTAAAAAAAATAAATAAAAAAAAAAAACGGGAAAACGAAACCGTCCAATTGAAAATGGAATCCGCCATGGGCGGTCGGATACCGGACGGTTAAACGTTTGACTACAGCACTACTTAAAAGATCTGAATACGGTAATCAGATTTTGTGAAATTCATCCTAATCGTTTTGTATACAATCAATTTTATCTGTTCCTAATTATCTGTGTCGGTTCATCTCTTCACAAATTGTAAACACATTTACCAATGGAAAGAAACAGTTGAATGAAAAATGAGGTTGAAGTTAAAACACAGTACAAACCTGTCGGAGAGTTCACACCTACAGAAAAAAAGTAAGATTTAAAAATTGATTTTTGCATCGCAATCCAAAATTTGTATGTGTGTGTGTGTGGACAGAATAATTTTACTACAGTAATTTTTGCGATTCGCATCTGATCCAAATCGCAGTAAGTCTTGCGATTTTTCAGAATAATCACGATAGTTTGCCGGGAGCTGTGTGTGTGAATGGTGTTGAGAATCAAAAATCTATTTAATCCCAGGATTCCAAGCGTAGATTCATCGTTGAGATTCACGCATGCGCAGTTCAGACATTCTTGCCGTCGAGCGAGAATTCTCCCTGTGTGTGAATGGTCGCAAAAAAAAATGATCTTTGCATCGCGATCCAAACTGCACTAATTGTTATATAATTTGCAGGGTCTGGATTTTGACATTTTGTGGGGGGGGGGGGGCATGTACATTTACCCAATTTCCCTATCCCAAAAACCATGAATTAAGAATTCAAATAGTTTCCAAATTGGTGCATGTATGACAGGTACATGTACATGTACATGTATACATGGGCAGGTCCGAACTCCGAAGCTAGTTTGTCTACTATTTTTAAGTACTTTTTGTTTTCTTTCTCTTTCTTTTTTCAGATTCTGAGAAGATTAAAACAACTTGTCTATCAACAATAAATCATATATTTTGTCAGAATCATTTCAAGAAAAGAAGTAAACTAAATTTATTTAAACTTTACAGGCAACAGTTAATACACGAAATGATACTTATAGTATACTCATGTACACGCATGAACAAGAATACGTATATACGTGTACATGATTGTGGGCATATCGATGGGGACGGTGCCTGGACAGCATGTACTTGTATACATGTAATAAAGATATGTCGATGGAAAGTGAAACTGGTGTCCCTGTAGAACACATATGCCTGCTCACCAGAAGGAAATCAAGTTACATGTAGCTGGTTTCTTAGTACTACCCTGTAGTTGGGTGCAACCAGTCATCAACCAATACGTATCTTGTAGTACATTGTTTTCTAGCTATTTGCAATAGTGTGAACATTTGATCATTAGGCCTGTCTTCACGTCCCAAAGCTCAAAATTGCAACTTCACTAGACCATTACTCTTATCACAAACTAGCTCGGACGGGTGCAAATTAGCCAGCTACAGGTATTTACCAATAGCGGGATATTTTGGAAAAAAGATTTTTTGGGGGTTATTTTCTTGATCAAATTTCCTGCTAATTGCAACTGCGGGCTGATGAAGACGCAAATTAAGTCGTTAATTTGCGATCGAGAAAGTTAAAAAAACAGATTATTAGGCAAACTCGAGCTGATGGAGACAGGCGTATTGTGTGACCATGGATATCTAGGTCAAATATCTTCATTAGACATATACACTTGTACATGTACATTTTGTAGACCTGTACGTCTTTTTCACTCTGTCTGATCCATGTCTACTTGAACATGTGCTCCACTCAAAATAATCTTCTTGCATAATCTTCAAGCCTAATGTTGCATCCTCATACCTAAAATCTCCTAACAATCTCACTCCACTACTTACCGGTAAGTCTTTACTCAGAGCCACAAATACGTGTGGGTTCCTTATGTACATAAGTGGGACACCAAAAGTGGGTCCTTAATTTATGGAATTACCCACTTTTAAGTTTGTATGAACCAAGTGTACTTGAAAATCTTCTTGGACCAAGGGTTTAACAAATTCCTGCTGAAAACCCTCCTCAGTCCTCATTTTTTTTCTTCTGGAACATCGTTTTCAAGATATTATCGTTTGTGTGAACAGGGCGTCTGTAACCTTTGATCATACTCTGACCTTACCTACTTTTAAGTTCTTCTGAACCATGTTTACTTGAAAATGTATTCACATGAAAAATTTATCTTCTTGGACAGAGGGTTTAAGAAATTCCTGCTGAGAACCCTCCTTAGTCGTCATTTATTTCTTCTGGACCATTGTTTTCGAGATATGATCGCTTGTGTGAACAGGGCATCTGTAACCTTTGATCATGCTCTGACCTTACCTACTTTTAAGTTCTTCTAAACCATGTTTACCTGAAAACGTATTCATGTAAAAAAAAATCTATCTTCTTGGACCGAGGGTTTAACAAATTCCTGCTGAGAACCCTCCTCAGTCCTCATTTATTTCTTCTGGAACATTGTTTTCAAGATATTATTGTTTGTGTGAACAGGGCGTCTGTAACCTTTGATCAGTCCGTGACCTTCTCCTTCTCCTTGTGCAGTGTAAGATCATCTATCAATCTGTAAAAAATATGAAATTGATATCCGATCCCACTAGGGGCTGGCTGGCTGTAGAAAGTGATTACCGTTCCATATCAGTCTTACATGGACATGTATTTGTAATAGAGTACATCCTTCCTCGTAAGTTTACATGTACTGTACATGTACATTGTATATCCTTATGAGAGCACATCTTCCTCTTAAAGGTAAAGACCAGTTATGGTCATGCGATTGCATTGTGAAATAAACGTTGTGGAATCGATCAGAAAAGGTTGATCATCTAGCATCTAGCATCTGCAAGGTTCTGGAATCATCAAAATGATAAGAAATTTGGCCCATTCTTCGTAAAGTTACAAGCCCTATACACAGAAAGATGTATATGGGACTACCCTATATCTCTCACAGACCATGAGAGAAACAAATTTACCAAACATATGAATTAGTAGGCGGTTTCCCGGCAAATTTTTTATCATCATGTATTAGTCAAAACATATTCTTTCACATGATTGGTAATAAGAGCTTCCATTTCATTTTTTGAAATTGGGGCGTTTCCAATACTGGTCTTTACCTTTAAAGTTTATATGAACTGTATGTACAGTAATAACAACTACATTACTTTATGCCCCTTGTAAATTTGATGGGGGGAAGGGGTTGTGTTTTTTGTAACTCAAGAATGAAAGGTGGACTAGCTGGTTGAATTAGGGCCTTTGGTGAATATTTTTATAATGAAGCTTTACTAGATATGTCACATTCTCAAGAAAACTTAAATCGGGTCAAATCAGTTTATCACACACTTGAAAGAATCGAAAACTTGGTAGCTTTGAGCGACCGGATTTACCATACTCATTTTCCCTAATATACTGTAGTGTTATAAAAACCGTTGTGACAATGATTTTGAAATTTCTAATTCCAATCATAAATATCTTGATGATAATCAGACGGGCTATCGGCTTGTAAACGTCATGGGATTGCTGACTGAAAGTTTTATAACTATGATTGCATGAGCCAAATCCAGGATTTATTTTAGAATCTGAGACAAAGATACCCAATCCCTTTGAGTCAGTGTAGGATATCATCTATCAATCTGTAAAATGAATTATGAAATTGATATCCGATCCCACTAGGGGCTGGCTGTAGAGAGTGATTATCCTGCCATATCAGTCATAACTATATAAGAGCATGTCTTCCTCTTACAGAGCTGCCAACCATTCTGTTTTTGCCGAAATTACTCTGTTTTTTCCTCCAAATTACGGTATTACGTTTTTTCTTCCTAAAAGACTCTTTTTTTTTTTTTTTAATTTTAATTTTTTTTTTTTTTTTTTTTTAAACATACTGCACGTCAAACAGCTGCCCTAAAATGGTGATTCGATCACAAATTCAATAGAAAACTAAATTTAAAACATATTTGAAAAGAAAAATATTCTCAAAAAGAATGAAATGCTGATAATACCAAAATAACCACCACAAAAAAATCATGCTTGTATGGAAAAAAAACAGCACGATGAATGAACATTTCTGCATTGGAAGTGTGTCGCGGGTGGTTGTAAGTTTCGTTTTATGAATTCCTTTTTTTTGCTTGAAATTCTTTTTTGCCATCATGATTCCTTTTTTTTTGGTCGCACAAGGTTGGCAGCTCTGATCTTACTGTAATAGACTCAATCTTACTCTTCAGTAATTTAAATATCATTATTTATTTTGAAACTTCAGTTTGTTCTTGACAAATTTTCCCATAACATTTGTTGTAATGCAGTTCAAAGTTTAAATATCTTTATTTATTCTTGAAACTTCAGTTTGTTCTCGATAATTTTTCGATAATTTGCTACCATAAAAAACTGCTGTAATTCTGAACCCTACATGTAGGTAGTCTCCCTAACATGTTATTCCAAACTTGTTATTGTAATACCATAACCTGATGATTATTTCAGTTTTTGAAAATATGATAAATATATCAATCTGTTACCTTTACATGTACAGTACATGTATATTAATTTGAACTTCTTTGCATTTCTGTAAAATACAAGATTGCACTGCAGTTTGACTGAGCAGTTCTATCTTGGTTTTCTTGAATGATACATGAACTGTTTAAGGGTCTTGACAAAATTGTGTAGATGTTAGGAAAAACTGGTGAACTTTAGAGTTACGCGTGACTAAATATTGACAAATAAGTGGAATACATGTAGAGGTGTTGTGGTCTAGTGGATAAGTCACCAGACCGTAGATCACAAGGTCCTGGGGTTCTAATCTCAGTCTGGAACTTATTCCCTTTGGCAAGGTTTAAATCTACATTTGCCACTCTCCACCCAGGTGTTAAATAGGAATGTTAATGTAGTTTGCTCAGCCTTGTGAGCATTTGTAAAATGGCGCCTGGCTGGGATGCTCCCCAGGGAGAGGAGAATGTGTGTGTGGGCAAGCCTGAATCTGAGGACCAGGTAAATGATATAACGGTAAAGCGCTTGGAGACATTGTCGATGCATTATTCGTGCTATATAAACGCGGAATATTATTATTATTAATATGTTTTTCTCCTTTTCTCTCTCTACGTTTTCTCTGCACCCATAGGTGACGATAGACTCCGTTCCTGAAAGATTTTATGTCTACAAAAGACCACATGTGGACTTCTTTCTTAGCGTAGTAAGTATGAAAAAAGAAACAGTAAAAAATGTTGAAGGAAAACAATTTGCTTTTACTTGATATTCCAGTGTGCTTCCTTTGCAAGAAAATTAATGAAATTTCACCATCCAATCAAATCCAATCCAGGTATTTACATGTATAAAGCGCCAATATCTAGTTGCCTAATCAAAGGCGCTGATGAGACTGAAAAACTACCAAAACTGTCTGATCTTGATCCTAACTGGGAAAGACAAAAAAATGGTGACTAATTGTAAGCAATCTGAAATAGGTATGTCTTTAGTTGAGTTCTGAAAGTGGATAACTGGTGACAAGAATTTTAATTTCCAAAACCTACATGTGTTACAAATTACATCTCATAGATGAGAACTAACAAAGGATGGATTTACAGTGCCCCATACTGTTTTCTGGCGCCCTTATGTACATGCAGTTTGATGATTATGGACAAATTTGAAGATGATTAATTGGAAAATGAAATAAGTGCTTCTTCTGAAAGGCAGTAATTAATTAGACTAATTTGTGTGCACAGTATCAAGTTGACTGCATAATTGCGCCACCACCGACAATGAGGTTTATAAACAGTAGAGGGGTGTGTTCCATAAGCTGTGCGGAAAGTTACGCATGACTTTACATGAAGAGCTAAATGGGATTCTCGAATCCTTTTGATTGCATAATCTTAAGTTGAAATATGCAGATGTAGATTAACCTTTATCATTATTAACAAAACATTTTAAAGCAAAGTGTATTTATGGCTACAATTTAATTGAGACTATGGGAAATACAGTCACACTTTGTTAAAATGTTAGGAAAACTTTGGGCATCCCATTTGACTCTTCATATTCAAATCATTTGTAAAGTCATTCGTAACTTTACGCACAGCTTTATGTAACACCTCCAGGTGTACTTGCAAACTATAGTTTAGCTCCAGTCTTGAGCTTTAATCGATGAGATAATGTTAATTGTATTTATAAAGTGCTTTTATCGAGAAAATACTGTACCAAGTCTCTTATGATTTTATAACCATACAAAAACTGCTGCACAAAGATTTTTTTAAAGATTAAAGTCCAAAGAAGTAACAAACACATTTCACTAAAAAAGGTGCAATGTGGACTATACTTCATGCTACACTTCACAACCAGAATATCTTCAAGTTCCGGTAGTATATAATCAAGAATTGTAGCTGCTGGCTGTAAAATAAGAATGATAACACATTTAAAACCATGAATTACTGAAGGTTTGATTGATGTGTTAAATCTACTAGAAGGTTGTTAATAGAGACGTGACTTATTGTCCTAATTCATTGAAGCGTTTGCTTTGAAGCATGTGACTTACCGTTGTTGTGGTTTCCTGTTTGAATACATCGTGAAGGAGTGCAAATTGTGACTAAATATATTTCAACCTTTAATGCGGGGGTGTCTGTACAAAGCAAGTAACAAACAATGAGAATCTGTCTGTACAATTTGCTAAAGTTACCGATTTTCACCCTTACCAGTAATTATCTTTGTCTTCATATACCGGTAATCATATTCCTTCATCCTACATGTAACTAATATAGTCCTCTTTCAAATCCTCATGTTTTTAAATCCCAGTTTGCTTCATGTTTTATGCCATCAAATTTTATCTTCATAATAATTATACAAGTGCACTTGAATGTCTGAGCATACAGTTTACAACTGAATTATTCATAACCCTTGTAAATTTGATGGTTTTGTGGGTTTCGTAACTCAATAATGAAAGGTGGACTGGTTGAAGTAGGGCCTTTGTTGAATACTTTTAGATGTAAGCTTTAATATTTCACAATCTCAAGAAACATTATTCGGGACAAATCAATTTTTAATTTTTTCTTTAAAAAATACAAAACTTGGTACGGGTATGAATAATTTAGTTGTCAAATGTATCATCTTGGTCATGTCACCAAGCAACCTGAATGAGAAGCCCATCAACATCCACAAATTTATTTTATCCATTGAGCACAGAGCGAAGAAGCTTTCCCTATACTAGCTTGTTCATATGCATTTTGTTTTTCAATTACCAGGATGAAATATAATAGTTCTTCTTAACTACCGTGATTTACTTCAGATGATTTCTATGGCAAAATATTGTTTGGAAGACAATGTACCAGCATGTTTACATATACTTGGTGCGGTAGCTTCAGAAAGACAAGTTTTGCTGGTATTAAAACATGACCTTATGACCCAATTGTGTCACAATATTCTCCGACTCTGTCATGAGTAAATTTCATATTTATGTCATGTACATGTAGGCCCGTTTGTGTATGTCAAAATTCACAATTTCAGGCAATTCTATGCAACTTTTTTGAACAAAAATTACCAAGTAGGTTTTAGGGGATCAGCTAACGCAATCGAGAAATACACACAATTGTGGCAGAGTTTAAAATTTAGCTGTGAAATTCTCAAAAAGTTCCAAGGGAAATTTAGAAATAGAAAGAGCCACCTTTCTCTCACGGAAATCTCAATTTTCTGTTGAGAAACTCAAGGGCCCGAATTCACAAACCAGGTTTGTAAAAAACACGTAAAAACGTGTCATATGACGTACATAAACCTAGGTTTGTCGACAAACCTCCTTTGTGAATTCGGGCCATTGGGATTAAAAAGGACAAATATTTTAACAATGTCTTACATTTGAAAACATATGTTATTGATTTAACATAAAGCAGAGCTTTACTTTGTTGTGATTGCATTTAATCATTAAAAATGAACGTGCTAAAATGTTGGCAAGGAGTGGGCAATAAAAGTACCATCAAAACGTTATAATGAAGTGAATATACAATCCTAACAGATGTGAAAATGCATTGATTTTACACAACAGAGTTTTCCTTTATCATGATATATTTATGATTCCATTATCATAGAAACATCATGAACTTACTTAACTCTTAGCAATCTTAATTTCTTTTCAAGTAAGGCAACTGAGTTTACAATCATATTATGAGCACAATGAAAATAATGTAGGACACCTTTGAAAGATGGTTTGGTGCATTATCATACTGTCAAATTGATGACATTTGTTATTGCGTGTAATTGGATGGAGATGCATGTACATTTAGGCTCTCTGTGTTTGCAGAGTAAATACCAAGCAGTGAAGCAGTTCACAAACATCTTGATTTTGAGGAGCTAAGAGGCCCAGCTGTTGAGGAACCCAGGCAGGACGCGGTTCAAAGTCCACAACTAAACAGCTCTGTTCACACGGGAAGGTCGTAGTTTGAAACGTTAAGTTTGCAAAGCCTCAAAGATTTAAACAACCATTGACTGATAATGATTAGAGTTCACACATGACCAAAACAATGAATGTTCAAAGTTTCGAAAATAAAGTTTCACAGCCTCAAAGCTTTAAAGTTTAAACAACCATTGACTGATAATGATGAGGGTTCACACATGACTAAAACAGCAAGTGTCCAAAGTTTTAAACATAAAGTTGCAAAGCCTCAAAGATTTAAACAACCATTGACTGATAATGATTAGGGTTCACACATGACTAAAACAGCAAGTGTCCCAAAGTTTTAAACATATAAGTTTCACAGCCTCAGAGTTTTAAACAACCATCAACCGATAATGATGAGTCTTCAAAGTTTTAACCTACAAGCTGGCAGGCAAGCAGTCATTTTAACTACGTGTTGAAGCTGATGTTATCTCAAAGTTAATTGCGTCAGCATGGCATATAACTTTAAATGAGAACCCCCCCCGTGTGGATCATAGCTGTGATACTTACCATAAGATCACTTGTGATTCATAACTTCAAGTAAACTTAAAGGTAAAGACCAGTTTTGGAAACGCCCCCCTCTCAAAAAATGAAATGGAAGTTATTATTACTAATCATGTGAAAGAATATGTTTTGACTAATACGTGATGGTACATATTTTGCCGGGAAACCGCCTACTGATTGATATATTTGGTACATTATTATATCTATTTGGACCTGATAGATATAATGCATGTGTCGCGTAGTCCCATATGCATCTTTCTGTGTACAGTGCTTGTAACTTTACCAAGACTGGGCCAAATTTCTGATCATTTTGATGATTCCAGAACCTTGCAGTACACACTAATACTTATATGCTAGATGATCAACCTTTTCTGATCGATTCCACAACGTTTCTTTCACAATGCAATCGCATGACCATAACTGATCTTTACCTTTAAAGCTTCATAGCCACAAGTGTGTCCGCACTCTCCATACATGTAACTACAAGACAACGTCAAAGTTTAAAACAATAAGTTAACTTTAAGTTTCCCGACTGTCGTGTTAGCCTAACCAATGTGAACAGGACTCAACTTGACCCGTATTATCCTGCGTACAAAATAAATTTGAGCAAGACCGGTTTAAGTAGACTTTGAGCTTTCTAGATGTGTTTCTTACCATCCCATCCGTCCATGACTTTCAATGATAAGCATATTATTGTGGAATTGGCGCGCTCTTTGTATAGGGATGAGAAATGCAGTAACAAACAGAGGAGTTAGGGCTATTTACAGCTTCAACCTTTGTACTACACTGTAAATGGCATGAAAATGTAGGTCAGTTCTCCACATGATTTCATTGCATAATGCATATGGTGACCGAAATGTGTTCAATCTTTATATCTTCTCTTTTTAAATCTTCTCTTTTTATTTGGCTCTATGCTATGAGTAGGAGATTATTCTATAGATGTTCGATATTTATTTCAATTCATTTATTATTCAGTTTTTATGTTATTTCTCTCTTTTCTCTCTCTATCTCTATCTCTCTCTCTCTGTCTCTGTCTTTCCTGTCTCTCTCTCCCCCCCCCCTCTCTCTCTCTCTCTCTCTCTCTCTATCTATCTCTCAGTTCTCTTCATATACCCTAATTTCATTCTCCTATCTTACCGTAATTTCTCCTCTCATTTTCTTACGTATTTTCCCCTTATGTTGCTTAAATTTATACACCATTCCCTTCCGTTTCTCATGTCCATTATACATGTAAGTAATATACTGTTTTATGAAACTCCAGTTCAATTTTAATATCTCTACAATTTCTTTTCAAACTCCTATTTTTCTTCCTGTCTTTCAGGTTAGCCAATGGTTTGAGTTGGTAGTCTTCACAGCGAGTATGGAGATCTACGGATCGCCGGTCGTTGAAAAATTAGATAACGGTAGAGGCTTACTGCAGAGAAGATACTATAGACAGGTACAAACTTATCAATGTTAAACACGATGACAGTAGTTAAACCTTTTTGGTGCATTTGAAATGGTTATTACCCACTGCTTGAGAAATGGAAAACAAGAATGCTAGTTAAAATGCTCTGGTTCAAGATTTTTGTCAGGCTACATGTACCTGTTTTTTGCAGAGTGTATGGGGCTCTTAAATTTATCAGGTTTCTTTAATATTAAAGGCTTATGGGGCATTGCAAAAAAGTTGCAATCAATTGCAAATCCCCAGAATCAAGCCAAAGTCTTGCGATTGATTGCAAATTTCCAATTGATCGCAACTCAACTTTCTTGCAACACCCCATTAGTATTAAAGATAGAGAGGAGGAGAATAAAAGCTAGATCTAGTTAACTCAACTCAATTGTTAAACTTTAATCCTAACAAAACCCTTGGAAATTTAGGAGACTAGTGGGGTGTTGCAAGAAAGTTGAGTTGCAATTGATTGCAATCATCAGTTGCAAATTTTGCAACTTGCAATCAATCAAAACTTTCTTGCAATGCCCCATAAGTTTTAATTTAAACTGAATGGTATTCTTGAATAAACATGTCATTGTCTTATATACTTCCTTGGATGAACAGAGCTCACTGTCTGAAATGATTTGAGATTGTCAAAAACTTTTCTCTTAGAACTATGCCAAGAATGAAAGCAAACACCTTTCTGAAAGGTTACATTTTTTTTAAATTTCTTGTTCCTGCGTACATGTAAGTGCAAGCAGATTTATTATCAATCAATAGTCATTCCTTTCTTTGTTTTTGTTTTTGATCAAGTTTCATTTTTTCGAATCATTGGGGTATTGGCATAAAAGATAAAAACCACGATATGTAAAGTCACCAACTTTTTGAAAGATTTGAATAATGTAATAATTGTATAAAACAACTAATTGGAAGTTAATGAAAAAGGGTATCCTATTTATTGATGTTAAATGTACCTTGAATATGTGATGAAAATGATCTATTACTGGTATACAGTAGGCTTACGGTTGCACCATGTGAGAGAGGGGGAGGATCGGGGAGTCCTGAAAAGGACTGTCGGTAATCTTACCAACAGATTACTGTGCAACCGTAAGCCTACTGTATACCAGCATCTAAATGATCTATTATTCAATAATTTCTTATGTCTATCAATCCTCTGGTTTCCTGCAGCATTGCACACTAGACTCAGGGAGCTACACAAAGGATTTATCTGCAGTACATCCAGATCTCTCTAGTATATTCATTGTGGATAACTCACCCGGTGCATACAGGCTCTTTCCAGGTACGTTGAGGGCGCTGAAATTATAATTCGTCTCTGACAAATCTTTCTCAAAGTTCAGGAGAGTTGATGCAGAAGATGCGCGAGTCATTTTTACTACTAGGCGACGAAAGCATTCTTACCGTTTAATACATGCAGCTATGAATTTGATTTGGAGAGTTCAATTATGTGATTGTCCCTTGTACCCAGGCACTGTCAATTTGTGATTTTAAGGTTTTGATTAAGTCTCATTGAAACTAGGGAAAGTTCATCTGAGAATAATTTCAAATTTGACTGTAAAATGTGGAGAATTTTACTGAACCAGAGAGTAATTTAAGCTCAAGAGGGGTAGCCGTAAAACAGAGAAGAAACATTTTGAAATAACAAGACAGGAACTTTACCTTTACAATAGGTAAATGGAGCTCCTTTAAACAACAATTAAAGGGCAATGGGTTTTACACATGACTCGCTAGGTTCTAGAACTGTTATAAGCTCTCATAGAGGCCATATGGTAGGAACACTCTACACCGAGTGAAGTAGAGAATAGGGATGAATAACATTCACTTATGTGCTTAAGGACTTCACGTAAAGCCATATATGTATTGAGAATAATCATTCATAGCCTGATGAAAGATAGTAGACAAACAACATTGCTAAGGTAGTCAGAATATTGGATAGAAAAACATCTTTTTCTTGTAAAATCTTGTGAAATGATAGTAGATCACAATCATAAATAGGGTTTACGACACATGCTCCATCAACAGTTACCCCACTGTCATTTCCCATGCTAACCAAACTCCCAACTCCAACCTGGAGAGAATAACATCAAAGATTATCGTTTATTCTCTTCTTCAAAATTCAATATACAGTCTAACTTGTCTGTAGCGACCGCCCAAGGGAAACACAAAAAGTGGTCTCTGTAGACAGTTGGTCTCTGTAGACATGTTCCTTTAGTACATGTTTCAATGAGAAACCATTTTCAAGGGAAACAAAAAATGTGGTCTTTGTAGACAATAACTCTCCTTCTAATTCCTCTTGACCTTTAACCTCCCAACGACCTTTCACCTCTCCATCCACAGACAACGGCATCCCCATCGTGTCCTGGATGTCGGAGCCGAGCGACACCGGTCTCCTCAACCTTCTTCCTTTCCTGGACGCCCTGCGTTTCACGGGCGACATCCGCTCCGTTCTCCGGCGGAACACGAGTCTCACGGCGCCCCCTCATTTGACCACGTCGTAGCACCCCCCTCTAGAGTTCGCTTTTTAATCTAGATTTGATCCCGTTTTTTATGTTTTATGGTCGAGTACATTGTCATATTTTTTTCTTCATCTGTGTGGTCAAAGAAGTTGTACAGTTGTATATATATTTAGATCGAGATGAGTTCTGTTTGCCCCCCCCCCCCCACATCCCTAAATTCTAAGTTGTATAGAGGATGAATACCCTCAGTCAGTGTAATCTAGCATTAGTCCCTTTTTTGTACTGTTCAAGAATGGCATTGTTTTCATAGGGAGAGAAGCGAAGTCCAGCTCCTAGCTAGAAATTGTTGTCTTGAATCAGGTTCTGTTTATTGCAAGAAACCAGTATTACCGGTAATGCTAAGGTGCATGTGGGTAGGAAGTTGTTGTGTTTTTTTTTCTCCACTAAAACTATTGGGTTCAACTAACTGACGATTTGCTGCATGTGCTTTATGCAATAGGGAATGTTGACGGATATCTGTACATTCTTAAGTTCGCGATCATGAGTGACCTAACATTTTGTAATTACGAAGGGAAGACCGAATGATTTGAATTTGGTGAAATATTTAGCGTATTCTACGTGTAGAAGTTTGTGTTTGATTGCAGCCATGTATGGAGCGTTACATTGAAAACAATAGATGCAATAATATAAAGATTTAAGACACTCTCGCACTCTCTCTGTCTTTCTCCTCTCTTTGTCTCTCTCTCTTGCTTTCTTTGTGTGTCTCTCTCTCTCTTGCTTTGTTTGTGTCTCTCTTTCTGTCTGTCTGTCTCTCTCTTTCTCTCTCTTTCTCTGTCTCTCTCTCTCTCTCTCTCTCTTGCTTTCTTTGTGTCTCTCTGTCTCTCTCTCTCTGTCTCTCTCCTTTCTCTCACTCTCCCTGTCTGAAGTCATTGAGCAAAAGCAAATCTACAGTGAGAGGGTCTCGGAGGAAAAAAAATCAAGCAAGGCATTGCTGTCATGTGGAAGCATTTGCTTGCAAGAATCACTTAATTGCTTTAATATTAAATCACGGAAGAGGTTTCATCTGATTGACGATGCAACTTAAAAATTAGTTTGTTCTTTACAATCAGTCAACAAATGTACCTGTTTTGATGAACTTTCTCTTGCTGCGTATTAAAGCTGCAAGCTTCTTCAGATCTATATGTCGTAGCTTTCGCTGTTGCGGATGCAGTATGACGATGTGGTCTTTCATCAATGCATAGGTTTGAAGAAGCTCGCAGCACAGCAAGTGAAAGCTCTCTTTAAAAAGTTAATTCTCCACTGATTGTGAAAGAAGAACTAATTTCATAGTCACTTTTGTTTACCAGCAATGTGTAGACTTTTGTTAGTTTTTATGAATATTGTCCATTGTCTCAGAAGAAGATGCTGTCATATTGATCCATGTATGATCCAATTTTCTTAATTGATACCATTTTGTTCAAGGGTGAACCAGAATCCATCCGGTGTTTATTCAAGTATTACTTTGAGGGCATTGCATCTTGTACATTTGCTTTACAACAATATACATTTACAGCGGTCCATTCGCTTTGTCCAAAGCTTTCGTTTGGATGTTGCTCAAATCGGTGCTTGATGAAAATGAAATGAGCAAACCTGTCCAGGCAAACAGTCAACACGTGTATGTAAAGGCCATGCACATTTATGGTAAATATATATTAGTTTCTCTAAATAAGAATAATACCTTTTGTGCACCAAGCATACATATTATTTTTAAAGGGTTCCTACTTCCTTCTGTGTCATCCATCTTTAGAAATCTCCCTATTGCTTTACTATCCTAAAAAAAAATCATGAGACGCTCTAAAAACATGATTTGTGACATTTTCTTTTATTGCTTAAATTCATACATGATTTATGGGTAGTGCAAGGCAAGACAGTAATAGAGATTATGCAAACTGATTTTGGTTTTACTTTGGGTTTCATAGTTTTTTCCCTTTTTTTTTTTATCATGTTGGATTGCAAAAAGTGCATGAAGAAGTTTTATTTGTATGTTAGTCTTTGGAAAAAATACATGTAGTTTCAGTTTTATTAATACAATTATTCTGAGTTGGATTTTTGTGTAGTATTTGAATCACCTCAAATTTAATTATGCTTTGCATTAAAAAGGAAAATTTTGCTCTTTTTTTTTGGGGGGGGGGGGGTGGGGACATTCTCATAATGAGACTTGATAAATTCATAATCATTATTTTAATTGCTGGTGAACTGTATTTCTATTTGCCAAGATAAATCCTCATTTTTAGGTCAAAAACTTCTGAGAAAATAACCTTCATATGGCAAAGAAGCATGAAAGAAACAAAATGTAGAATATTATTTCTGTAATTTGATTTGATATCTTGTTTCATCGTTGAATTTTTTTAAATTTCATATTCCCTTCTTGAAGATTGGCCAAATATCTACGGTACTCAAAATACAAGATTAGATATTTTGAGGTGGTTATGATTATTTGAAACGCGACATAAACTGATCAACAATCTTAAACAATGTGATGCCGTACATTCTGCTCTCTGATTTTTATGTAATGCATTTTGAACATGTAATTATTGTCTCTAAATTGGCTGAGGTTTGGGGATTTTTTAATCAAGGAAAGAGCATTTGTGTTTGGGTTTTAAAGGAAACAAATATTATTTTTTTTCTCTGCTTTTTAACTCAATATCTGCTCTTCTGTTGTTGCCTTTGTTTATCTCGATTGCTCAATCCACATTACTAACCTTTAAAATCAATCATTCCCTAATAAATATCTACCGGTAACTCAAATTTGTTCTTTTTTAAGTAATAGCGTATGAATGCACCGTTTTGGTGGGTACATAAATTCATTCTTGTTTTAACCTAGCACAGCTCAGTTGCAAAGCATATATTTTATCCATTACCGATAAAACGTTGAAATGCAAGTTCCATGATGTCCAAGTTTGAAATATATCTTTATTACTGTGATAACCTAATGAAATATGGGTATTTGAACTCTAGAAATTCGTTTTGCAGCTGTTTAAGTTAGTCATGAAAGTTATGACCACATGTTGTCATCTTTGAACTATATATATACTCTTTTTCAGAATGATGGCAATAACTATATCGAAGGAAATGGTCATTTTATTCACTACCCCTGTGTACAGAATTGTTTTACAGGAGGAATTGATATCAACTGAATTCCAGACAATAGCCAATCAGAATCAAGCTTTTACCCCTAAAAAAAGGAATTGATGTACAATAGGATCACGGAGCTTATAGTCCTTTTTACAGATAATATATCGTTGTTACTTGAAGAAGGGCATAAGCGCATTGTGCCGGTCTCCGAAAAACAGACGTGCACTAGTGCATTACACAGAAGGTTGTTATCAATAAAAATGATGTAACTTCAAAAGTGTGAGGTTATTTCATACTAAATTGCTCAAATTAAGTAGTTATCATCCATTTTCACTACAGGTATGTGAATAGTCGATAAGAAGATCAATCTCGTTCATGTTTAGAATATGGTGTACCATGTAAACAGCAGTCAATACCTTAGAACTAGAAGCGAGTTATCAGGAATCAGCTTCGTGGCAGGCGTATGCGATAACGACCTCCTGCCAACGATACAATGAATACCGGTAGATGTACTATATGATCACACATCTTAGAGCCCCTGTTACATAACACATATATCCCCTATTCCATCCACAAGTTGTCGAACTGCTAGCACCTTTTGAACATTCACACGGTAGAAACATCTTTGAAAACACACATATCAGAAATGTATGTTACTTTGAAAGATGGGAATTTTTTTTGTACTCTGTATCAGTGATCACAAACATCTTTCAATGCAATGTACCATTACACTGACTGTACTTACAGAAAAACATAGTTTTCTTATGATGCATGGCATACTAGGTATATTTTTACATCAGTATACAGAATCTGTGCACAAATGCATTGCACCTGACCAATAATCCATTTTGTCTGAAATGAGACTGTACATGTACTTAGTCTTAGAGGTTTTAGCAGGTTATAAATCTAAAGCCTACTGTGTGAAATTGTTATATAAAGTTCTTTGCAGAGGCAGAAGGGCGTCGACTCTGTGTTAAAGTACTTAGTTAACGCCCTTTCGGCTCCAAATGGACGATATGTCATGTAGGTAGTTTGAAAGTATATTGGATTGATTATGAAAGAGCAAAATTTGATATTCGATACGTTCTCTAACTGGTAGCGTGCAGGCAGAGACTCCAACTTTGGCACTCCAACACAGTGCCATAAAGTCTTGAGCACAGCCTAATTCCACTCGAGGGATATTGGAAAGTATATGTATGATATTTTGAAAGTAGGATAAAACAATCCCCTTCCCTAATTTCAGCATGCTTTGTGTACATTGCTGTAACAAATCTTTTTGACAGCATGAGGAATGTTCTTATGTGTGTATTATCTTTGTTTACTATCATGTTAGAATTTGACAATCTAAACAGTCGCCAAGAAACGGACAGTCGCGAGGCTTGCTATTCTACACATTGATAATGTTTTGTATATGGTGAACGAACATGTGTGAAATTAGTTTACTCGTTTGGTTTTTTTTTTCTAATACATTGGGTGTTTTCAGAGTAAGAAAAAGAAAAAAAAGAGAGAAAAATATTACTACTCTGACTGCCAACTTGTTTTGTATATTATGATGAAATGATACCATTTTATGAGAACCAAATTTAGTTTCAGAGAACCAGGGAGAGTTTACAGAGTAAGAAGAAATAAAAAATGACTTTGTCACTGAATTATCATCACTTGTCTGTTGCATTTTGGATTTTACTTGCGAGTTTTAGAGGAATATGTGTGTAAAAATCTGTGAAAAATATACATGTACAGGAGCCATTGATGTAGAGAGAGAGAGAGAGACGTGGGTACATGATGGTATAGAGTGAGAGAGAGAGTCACACACACACACACACACACATATATATCAGGCCTGATGATTACCCAATTTTTTTTTCTTCCCGATTTTACCCCTATTTTCCAGATTTTTCCCTTATTTTCCCTAGTTTTCCCGATTTTTTTTCCAAATTTTCACTCAAATTCTCACTCAAATTGGGGGGAATGTCATTAGATGCTATTTTTCCCCCGAAACCCCCTTGAGTTAACTCAAGGTGGCGTGGTTGAGGAAAAACAAAATTGTGTTGTTGTTGTGCTCACTATCACCCCTGTGCTCACCCCCGTCACTGAGAATATGATCATATCTCTATAATGTCTCCCTCTCCCCACCCTTGTGTTGAAATCTACATCAAAGAATTGATGAGCAAGAGTCAAAAACTTCTACAGAGAGTGGGAGGGGGAGAGAGAGAGATGAGAAGTTATTTGGAAGAGAGAATTGCCTAAAAACTGCTGAAGTACAAAGAAAAGAAGAGACTCAGACAATGTGAATTGTTGAGAGGCTATAAAAAGTGATGATAAAGATGACAAAGGCGTAAAAAGGTTTAAAGATATGATTTTTTTTTAAATGTGGTATAGCAAATTGGGCAGAATAAAATTTAGAACACAAAATGAACAAAAAGAACTGAAATAAATTTAATTTGAGGTTTAATCATACCAATAAGCAATAAAAGCATTTTATCAAAAGCACGAAACGTTGCGTCATTGCAATAAAGCAAAATAAGATCAAAATCAATTCATA